GGGCAATAAGCTGACTTTGTATAAATATACAAAAGTATGAAGGCTATTGCTTAACGCACTGTAAGCCGCCCTGAGTCTCCGGAGAAGGGCGGCATATAAATCAAATTAAAAAAAAAAACTGGATGCAGCATTCCAGGAGTGGCCTTACTAAAGGCTTTATAAAGCGGTACTTTAAACACTTCACCTGATTTCGATTCTATGCCTCCATTTATACAACCAAGGATTGTATTGGCTCTTTTGGTTGCTATTGCCCACCTCTGGCTCATGTTTAAGCGATCGTCCACTCCCTTGCGAAATTTGACACGTTCCCAAACTCAAAGGACCATACTTGGAAAAAGTATGCCTGACATCAGGCATTCCTTGTGGCCTTGCACAAATCTTTGCAGGTTGTGTTAAATGTGAGGGGATCGATGCTGCTTTCAAGAGAACAGGTTCTAAAAAGCCAGCCCTGTTGAGTTGGCTAAGGAGCACAGCTTGAGAGCAATATTACACCTGCCTTAATGGAGGTGTTTTTTTTTAAATTAGATTTATATTCAAAACTTTTCTATTTCAGCAAGCTGGCCTGGCCTAACTCCCTCTTTTAAATTTTTTAAAATTTTTTAATTCGTGATTTTATAAATTGGGTGTTTTAATCTGTGTTTCGGCCAAAATATTTAATAATTTTAAGGGATTTTTAATATTTGTATTGTATTTTATCTTGGCTGTTCACCGCCCTGAGTCCTTCGGGAGTAGGGCGGTATAGAAATTTAAATAAATAAATAAATAAATAAATAAATAAATAAATAAATAAATAAATAAATAAATAAATATGCCGCCCTTCTCCGGAGACTCAGGGCGGCTTACAATGCCTTCATCCTTTTGTATATTTTATACAAAGTCAGCTTATTGCCCCCACAAACTGGGTCCTCAATTTACCTACCTTAGAAAGGATGGAAGGCTGAGTCAACCTTGAGCCTGGGGAGATTCGAACTTGCAATAATTGCAGACAGCTGAATGTTAATAACAGGCTTTTAGTCTGTTGAGCTATCTAGGCTCTCTCCTCTGTGGCTTCATGGTTTAATGCTGGCTTGTTGCATTCACTAAAAGGCTCCTTCTCAACAATCATCCATAGCTCAATCTACCATGGGAGGCTATATATATTGGAAGGAGGAATGACTACCAATTCTTTATCCCCTTAGCTACTTTTCCAAGGCATGACTTGGCTTCCTTTAACAGATTTAACAGATTAACAAAGTTGGAAGGGACCTTATAGGTCATCAAGTCCAACAAGCAGGAGACCCTACACCATTTCTGACAAATGACAGTCCAGTCTCTTCTTGAAAGCTTCCATTGATGATTTCTGAAGGCAACTTCTGTTCCATCGGTTGATTGTTCTCACTGTCAGAAAGTTCCTCCTCATTTCCAGGTTGAATCTCTTCTTGTTCAGTTTCCATCCATTATTTCTTGTCTGGCCTTCAGATGCTTTGGAGAATAGCTTGACCCCCTTCCTCCTCTCTGGGGCAGCCCCTCAAATATTGGAAGACGGTTATCCTGTCTCCCCTGGTCCTTCTCTTCACTAGACTAGCCATGTCCAGTTCCTGCAACCGTTCTTCGTATGTTTGAGCCTCCAGTCCCCTCATCATCCTGGTTGCTCTTCTCTGCACTCTTTCTAGAGTCTCAACTTCTTTTTTTATAGTGTGGGGACCAAAACTGGATGCAGTACTCCAGATGTGGTCTTACTAGGGATTTATAGAGTGGTATTGGTACCTCACTTGATCTTGAGTGTACACCTCTGTTAGTGCAATTTAGGATTGCATTGGCACAAAACTTTGCGTATGTCAATTTTGAAGGGACTTGATCAGGGCAGGCTGGGTGCCAGCCATCACAACAACAGATCTTCTCCACCGTGGCAAAACAAACAAAAGAAGGAATCAAAACATGGTTTCCCAGGGGAAAGCTCCATCCTTAATTAGCCACCAACGAAGGAGCCCGAGAGTCCGCGGGGATTAATTTGACGCGTAGGACTCAGAGGTAATACCACTCCTCGCCCTAATTTAAGCCGTGTCAGCTTCGGAGAACCTGATTTTGGAATGAGAGTTTATTAGAACAAGGAAAGTTAGTTCCCATTCTGGACGGAGGTCCGATGGGAACAGGAAAAGATGTTTCTAGTTTTGCCTCTTCCAATTGTCAGCCCTGCCAGGAACAAAAAAACATGACTAGGTGAGCTAATTCTACTGCATCGTAAAGCTGCATTTCAGAATCTTACAAGTCTTGGTAAGGCCACACTTGGAATCCTGCATTCAGTTTTGGTCACCATGATGTAAAAAAGATGTGGACACTCTGGAAAGAGTGCAGAGTAGAGCAACAAAGAGGATTAGGGGACTGGAAGCTAAAACATATGAAGAATGGTTGCAGGAACTGGGTATGTCTAGTTTGATGAAGAAAGGACTAGGGGAGACAGATAGCAGTGTTCCGATATCTCAGGGGCTGCCCCAAAGAAGAGGGAGTCAAACTATTCTCCAAAGCACCTGAAGGCAGGACAAGAAGCAATGGGTGGAAACTAAAACAAGGAGAGAAGCAACTTAGAACTAAGGAGAAATTTCCTGACAGTTGGAACAATTAATCAGTGGAACAACTTGCCTCCAGAAGTTGTGAATGCTCCATCACTGGAGGTTCTTAAGAAGAGGTTGGACAACCCTTTGTCTGAAGTGGTGTAGGGTTTCCTGCCTAAGCAGGGGGTTGGACTAGAAGACCTCCAAGGTCCCTTCCAACTCTGTTATTCTATCTTCTAATCAAGTACGATAAATACAAATCTCTCGCCATCCTTTTTACAGCTTGAGCAGTTAGGGTGGGTCCTTTCACACATTCCATTGCCCCCCAAATTTCACTTCGTTGTCATTCACTCATTCCATTGCACCCTGGGTCCCAAATCTCACTCGGGACTAAGATTTCGGGGCTCAAGGAACTGGGGGGTGGGGGCAGGATTTTCTCTAGCTGTCCCTGCTTTGCATTGGCATGGATTTATCCATGCCGCATCCTGGCATTTCTCAAACCCCAACAAGTTTGAGAAGATGGTATTGGGGTTTAGCATGCTGGCTGGAGGACTCTGGGAGTTGAAGTCCACGTATCTTAAAAGTTGGTGAGGTTGGGAAAGATTGATTTTATCCAGCCCTTTTTTAAAAAAATTAATAAAACAAGTTTATTGGGGTTTTTTTTCTCCTCTCCCATTTTCACCCAATCTTTCTTCTTTCTTTTTTTTGAACAGTGTTGGTCGTTTCTCATCTTATACAATGGAAGAGTAGGGAGGAAGGAAGGGAAGGGAAATCAGAGTAGGAGAGAAAATAAGACGGGGGGAAGAGAGGAGGAGAAGGAGAAGGGAAGGGGAAGTCGAGAAGAGAAGAAGAAGGTGGGGAAAGAAAGTTGGAAAGAGAAGAGGGAGAGGGTAGGTTTAAAGAGAAAGATTGCTTACAATAGAAAAGATGAAGTGGAATAAAGGCAGCTCTGAACATACAAATATAAATATATTAAGATAAAGAATGAATCGTTTAAGAGTAAAAGAGGATAAATAGGTACAAATAGCAAAGTTAGAATTTAGGGAAGAAGGTGTTTATGTATGCAAGTATAGAAATACTGAGGTATGTTCAAAAAAAAAAGGAAAAGGAGGAAGACGATATTGGCAAACATTGTAATTGAGTAAAATGTATTTGAATTTGATTTTATCCAGCTTTAATTGGCTACAAGCTACCTCAATGTAGCGGAGAGGAAGTTTTGCCAATTCTGCTCAGTTGTGTTCCAATTCTTTCTTGTGGTCAAAGGGTAAGGCTATTAAGAGAAATAATCCAGAACTTGGTTTATCTGGCCGGCATTCTTGGGAATTAGTGGGAATGTATGTGAGGAGCTCCAAGAGGCCAGAGGCTGCTTAATTAGGGCTACCGACTCTTTAACAGTCCACAAATACATATAGATCCCCATCTCTATTTAGCCTGGCATGTCTGTAGCCTCCAAGGGCTAAAGGAAATCCAGTCCACCTGAGCTGAAATTTGACTGATTGGTGCTTAGAGAAGAACCTCAATCAATCAATAAGGAATAGAGCTGGAACAGACCTCGGTGGCATGCATAGCCATATTGGTGGGCACGCGAGCTCAGCTCCAGTGGACTGGAAGTTGGCAAACGGGCCGCTTTTGGCCTCCAGAGGGACTCCAGGGGTGTGGGGAAGGCCGTTTTCGCCCTCCCCAGACTCCTAGAAAGGTTCTGGAGCCTGGGGAGAACAAAAAAACAGGCCTTCCGGTCCCACCGGAAGTTGGCAAACAGGCTGTTTTCAGCCTCCGGAGGGCTTCTGGGGGGGTTTGGGGAAGGCTGTTTTCACACTCCCCAGACTCCTAGAAAGGTTCTGGAGCCTGGGGAGAGCAAAAAACAGGACTTCCGGTCCCACCGGAAGTTGGCAAACAGGCTGTTTTCAGCCTCCGGAGGGCTTCTGGGGGGGTTGGGGAAGGCTGTTTTCGCCCTCCCCAGACTCCTAGAAAGGCTCTGTAGCCTGGGGAGAGAGAAAAACGGGCCTACCGGGCCATCACGTGCCAGGAGTGGGGGGTGGGAGGGTTGTGCGCGCATGCGCGGGGGCGGAGTGCATAGAATTATGGGTATGGGCACGTGTGCGACACCCTCCCCCCCGCGCTCCCCCCATTCCTGGCACGTGATGGCAAAAAGGTTAGCCATCACTGCCCTATACCATTTCAGACAAGTGGCTGTCCAGTCTCTTCTTAAAAACCTCCAGTGACGAAACATCCACAACGTCTGGTGGCAAGCAGTTCCACTGGCCGATTGTCCTCACTGTTAGGAAGTTTCTCTTTAATTCCAGGTTGATTCTCTCCTTGATTACTTTCCATCCATTGTTTCTCGTTCCGCCCTCTGGTGCTTTGGAAAATAAATCGATCCCCTCCTCTTTGTGGCAGTTTCACCGTGTATAGTTGTGCAAACTCGGAAGCTGATTCCCCCTCTTCCCTTCCCCTTTTCCTGTCTTCTAGGGATCGAGTGTGCCAACGAGATAGATGAATGCGAGGGCCACCCTTGTGAAAATGGAGGGACCTGCGAAGACGCCATCGCTGACTATATCTGCCGTTGTATCTTCAACCCAGACGGCGTAGCCTGGGGTGGGAAGAACTGCTCTGTGGAGCTCACGGGTTGCAAGATCCACCACTGCCAAAACGGGGCTCTGTGTGTCCCCACCTTCCAATCAGAGGCCCACGGCTACCTGTGCCAGTGTCCTCCTGGATTTTACGGGCCCACCTGCTCCATCCCAACCACCTTCTCCCTGACGGACAATGGCTATCTCTTAATCAACGCATCTGCGGATGATAGGAACACAAGTGGTCACGGAGCGAGCGTAGCTCTCCGGTTCCGGACTACTCTTCTCAATGGCCTCCTTTTCTACCGAGGCCACCAAACTGAGCATCTGCTCCTGGAACTCTATGCTGGCCTTCTACAGGTGATGCTTTTGACTCAGGAGGCCAACGTATCTTTCACGCTGGAGTCACCGCCGGTGAACGATGGCCACTGGCACAAAGCAGAAGTGTCTCTACAAGAGTCTCTTGAATTCAGGCTGTGGCATGAAGCTTGCCAAGGAGGCATCTGCCTGTTCAGCCATCCCCTTGGCGAGACTACCCCTGTTTCTCTCCTGCCCTCATTTCTGAATATATATGTTGGAGGAGTTGAGGAGACGTTAATGATCAACTGCACGGGACACTTCACTGGTTGCTTCGAAGACCTGCAGATTGACTCCAAGATACTCCTACCAGAGGACGTAGAAGGTCTACAGCTTCCTGGATTTCAACTGGGTTGTGAGAGAACGGAATGGTGTCAGTCTCAGCCTTGTTCCCACGGTGGTCAATGCATTGACTTCTGGACGGACTTCCGTTGTCGCTGCTCCCGGCCTTACGAAGGCCACACTTGTTCCTACGGTGAGTAGCACGACAGGGCTCCCATTTACCTCCTTGAGAGAGTTCAGGAAGTTGGGTAAGAACTAAAAAATATTTTCAGAAACAATGATAGGAGCCGGTGGTAGGCGGGGAAATTCGTCTGCTTGGTTTGGGTAGAATAACAAGAATTTGTTTTGGGTTCTTACCCGAGATGAGACAGATGAGACAGAGAGAAGGCAGTGCCACAACCATTAAATGGCCTCGTGTAACAGCATAACAGAGTCGGAAGGCACCTTGGAGCAGAGGTGGGCTTCAAAAATTTTAGCAAGGGGTTCTCTGCCTGGTTGCTGAATGGGCATGGCCATGGAAAGCGTGGCCTAGTCAGCCCTCTGCAACATGGCGGGGGCGTTTTTGCCCTCCCCGGGCTCCAGAGGTTTTCTTCGAGCCTCCGGGAGGGCGAAAACGGCCTCCCCAGGCTCCGGAGGACCTCTGGTAGGCCCATTTTTCGCCTTTCCTAAGCCTCCGTGCGTGCATCCAAAATGGGCCGTGTGGGAATTCCTGGGAGGGGCGGGATGGGGTGGGAGGGGCCAGTCAGGAGTGGGATTTGGGGGTTCTCCAAACTGCACAGAATCTTAGCTAGAGGTTCTCCCGAACCCCTGCGAACCCCCAGGAGCCCACCCCTGCCTTGGAGGTCTTCTAGTCCAACCCCCTGCTCAAGCAGGAAACCCTATAACATGTTGGATAAATGGTTGTCCAATCTCTCCTTAAAAACTTCCAGTGTTGGAACATTCACAACTTCTGGTGGCAAGTTGTTCCACTGGTTAATTGTTCTGTCAGGAAATTTCTCCTTAGTTCTAGGTTGCTTCTCTCCTTGAGTAGTTTCCACCCATTGCTTCTTGTCCTGCCCTCAAGTGCTTTGGAGAATAGCTTGACTCCCTCTTCTTTGGGGCAGCCCCTGAGATATTGAAACACTTGCTATCATGTCTCCCCTAGTCCTTCTCTTCATTAAACTAGACACACTCAATTCCTGCAACTGTTCTTGATATGTCTTCAGTCCTAAATGTAGAGATTATATCGGACATTTCTGGAACCCAGAACTCCATAGGTCTTCTGAAATACTATCACCTCTAGTAGAAGCCATGCTGAAAACTAAAGAAAGATGTGATGGTTGAAACGCGAGCTGTCGTGGGTGCACCTAGGATCCACCCACATTACACCAATTCTCCGCGAGCTGCACTGGCTCCCTATTGGTCTCTGGGCACAATTCAAGGTGTTGGTTATTACCTTTAAAGCCCTACATGGCTCAGGACCAGGGTATCTTCGAGACCGCCTTCTACTACATAACTCCCAATGATTGGTCCCACAAAGTTGGTCTCCTCAGGGTCCCGCCAGCTAAACAATGCCGGCTGGCGAGCCCACGGGGGAGGGCCTTCTCTGTGGCTGCCCCAGCTCTCTGGAACCAGTTACCTCCTGAGGTCCAGACCATCCCCACCCTATTGGCCTTCCGGAAAGCGGTGAAGACCTGGCTTTTCCGGCAGGCCTGGGGCCGTTGATTTCGCTCTTGCGATCTGACGAGATCCGGCCATGAATGGTGTGAATGAGTTTTAATGTTTTTAATTTTTAAATGTTTTTTATCATGATTTTAAATGCATTGTGAGCCGCCCTGAGTCTTCAGAGAGGGGCGGCATACAAACTGAATTAATAATAATTAATAAATAATAAATAAATAAACCCATAGTAGTTTCCGAGTAGTTTCATCTCCTTGGCTTGGAACTGGAAAGCTTTTTTTCCCCCTCTCTTTTCCAGAGTCACCCTCAGCGACATTTGGCCAGGATAATTCTTCTAGCTTTGTCACCTTTGAGGTTCCCGACAGCCTCGGGCCCAATTTTAACCTCTCCTTTTTTATCCGGACGCGGAAGGCCGGCGGACTCATATTCCAGATCAGCAACGGAAGCGATGTTTTCCTTACGGTATACTTGAAGGACGGGAAGCTCCAGATCGAAGCACCGTCGGCTGCTTGGGTGGGATCTTCTGGAAATCTGGCCGACGGCACCAGGCACTTTGTGGCGCTCTCCTTCCATGAAGGCCTCGCTCGGGCCAGCCTGTTAAACAGAGAAGAAGAGCTGGGAGATCTGGCCGTCGCCTTTCTTGCTGCTAATTTTGAGATCCATGTGGGTGGGCTCCCCCACGAAGAAAATTTGGACCTCTGGGGGGGCCCTTTTAAAGGCTGCCTGCAGGATATCCAACTCAATCACCACCAGATGCAGTTTTTCCCTCCTCCAGATAACGACAGCCTTCCACAGGACGTGTATGTGAGGCAAAACCAGAACGTTGTCCCAGAATGCCTCTCAGACAATGCCTGCAAGGTAAGGATCAGGCTAAAAGGGGGCCAAGATGCACCCAGATATTTCTGAATGTGGGGAAAACATCTCTATGGGCGGGAAGAAACAATGCGCTGGGGGGGGGGAGACCAGAGGTCTCCTAATGCTAATACTTGTAGCATTATATCCTGAGGTTGTTAAAATTGTTGAGGGACCTCAAATGTATTGTGACTTAGGCTCACTTAGTCATTACAAGACACAATTAGTCCCAAAACAAACCTATTTTATTGTAACAGCTAAGAATTACTTCATTCCCAGCTTAGTCCAAATTAATTCCAAAATGAGTCCTTCAGAAAAAATCCTTCAGGTTTATCACAAACCTTTATCTTCTTTGGCACTCTGCCAAAGGCCTTTCTTGGCAAAGCCCCACGAAGTTCACAAACAAGACCCGCCGACTGGAAACAGATTTAGCAACGTTGCTTTCCTACAAAGAGCCCAAGAGCCTTTGCTGCTCTTTTAAGCTTTATGGAAGGGGCCAATCATCTCCTGGCCTTACTCCCGAGTCGTCCCTTTTGCTTTAGCTGCTCTTGCCTGCTGGCAGCTCTTCACATGCATGCATTAGGAACAGGCTCCTCCTGTTCCTCTGCCTCTCTGCTGTCCGACAATGGAGGCTCCGGAATGCCATCACTCCCAGATGGCTCTGGCCCCATCTCTGCCTCCGACGCAGAGCCCTCGTCCGGGCCTTCCCCTGACTCCAGGACTGGCCCATTGTCCTCCCCAGCCTCCTCACTGTCCGACTCCACTGCCAGCTCCGCAAGCTGTTGGCGGACCACAACAAAATGGTTGATGATTACAGACCAAACAAGACTCTGGCAACCAAATTTGTCAGAAAAAGCCACGTCCATGCTGAAACGCTTCAGCAGATGAAGTTCATAATGCCTCTGGGCTGGGGGTGGCAGCTTCTGCTCTAATCTGGTTTGGAGAATAACCTTGGCTGAGATTGGTGAGATTAGCCTAGCTGCTCCTAGAGATATAGCATTTCCTTGCTGTGTTCTTACTTCTCATGCGGCCAGAAGGAGAATGATCTGGAGAACAAGACTCACGAAAACCAGCCAGGTGAGGTATGGATCTTCTCTTTATCTTCAACGTGTCCATTCATGTCCCCAAGCTGTGTTTATTTTTTATTTTTTTTTTAAAAAAACCGAAACATCTCCAGCTGCAAGGAAGTACCTTCTCTGCATGCTTTGTGGTCATTCAACCTTGCCATGGGTTGCATCTATGGGACTACAAGTAGTGGCCAAAATCGTGGAAACCTTTTGGGAAAAGTTGTATTTTCTAAAACTAGCTAATAACACCACTTTTTTGGGGAGTAGTAGTAGTACCATAAAATTATATATCAATGGAAAGATAATTGAATCAAGAATGTAGTGCAATGACTTTTAGGAAGGGTTTGCTATTAGAAGAGCAGTTACAGGATACAGAAGAAAAGTGAAACAGGTAGAATAAAACGAGATAGACAAAAATGATCCCCATGGAAAAAACGAGATATACAAAAATGATCCCCATGTCAGTGAATACTTCATTGGGTAACCTTTAGCATGAATGACGGCCTTACAATGTCTTCCCATGGAGCGAACCAAGTCTTTTAGTTCTGCAGCTGTTATCATGTGAAACCAAGATTGAATGATGGCTTCTATTAACTGGGTTTTATTGCTGGATCGCTTCTGACTAACCAGTTTCTTTAGTTGGAAAATCCATAGTTTTTCCGATTGGGCTATTCCCAGGCCATTGTTATGTTTTATTAAATTTATATACCGCCCTACTCCCGAAGGACTCAGGGCGGTGAACAGGCACAGAATAAAATACATAAATACAAAAGTTAGAAACAATTTAAAACCAAATTAAATAATTTAGCCCAAGACCATTAAAAATCCCAATAATTTAAAACAAATTAAAATTTCAGTTTAAAAATTTAAAAGAAAGGGGAGAAAATTAGGCCAGGCCGGCTTGCTGGAATAGGAGGGTCTTAAGAGCACGGCTATTCCAGCAATGGAATAAGATTATCTTGAAACTCCCCCCCAAAAGTGGTGTTATTAGCCATCAAACCTCAAAAAGACACTTTTCCCAAAAGGTTTTCACAATTTTGGCCACTACTGTACCTTTCTCTCTCCTTCCTGCCTGCCTTCTTTCTGACTAACAAGTTTCTTGAGTTAACTCCATAGATTTTCAGTTGGGTTAAGATTTGGGCTATTCCCAGGCCATTCCAGCAGTGGAATAGGATTATCTTGAAAAAAAGATACCAAAAATACCCCCCAAAAGTGGTGTTATTAGCCACCAAACCTCAAAAAGACACTTTCCCCAAAAGGTTTCCACAATTTTGGCCACTACCGAAGAGTGACATTTCTCAACCTTGGCAGAATTCTGGGAGTTGAAGTCCACCACGTGGACAAAGGCTGAGAAACACCGAACTGGAGGCAGCAGGAATGGGAATTATAATGGTGAAGGTTCTGAATTCTGTTGGCGGTACATATTGAATCACCCCTGATTTGAACACGGAGAGAGATTTCCCCAAGTTGAGTCCAAACGTCCTTCATTGTTCAATCATCAATCAGACCTCACCCAAAACTCAACATCTTTGGCTGAAAAGCTAATCTTCAAAGACTGCAAGTCTTGGGGAGAAAAGGAGCATGCAAACGTGGGGCCTCACCAAATTTTTGTGTGGGCACAGAGGAATCAAAAGAGAGAGTGTGCGGTGGGCTAGAGGTGGCCTCACAATCAGGAGGCTGTGAGTTCAATCCTAGATAGAGGCTGATATTTCTCTCTCTGGGCACAATGAGAATATTATCTGCTGGACAAAACTCCGCTCTGACGACAGGAAAGGCATCTGGCCAGTAAACACTCAGCTCCCAGTAAACACTCAGTTGCCCCGACTCCACCCCATAAGGGATTGCAAACTATGACAGAGGAATTAAGAGAGAGAAAACTGGGTAGTTGCTGGTGGTGGATAGGTACAAATAGAAATTAAATCTGGTTGTATCAAGAAGTACAGAGAAGACGTAGATATCCAATTATACCTAAATTCCATATCCACTAACAGCTACCAGAACCAGTGGTGAAATTCATTTTTTTTTACTACTGGTTCTGTGGGTGTGGCTTGGTGGGAGTGATGTGGCTTGGTGGGTGTGGCAGGGGAAGGATACTGCAAAATCCCCATTCTTGGGAGAAGGATATTGCAAAATCTCCATTCCCTCCTCACTCTGGGCCCAGCCAGAGGTGGTATTTGCCGGTTCTCCGAACTACTCAAAATTTCCGCTACCGGTTCTCCAGAACCTGTCAGAACCTGCTGGATTTCACCCCTGTACAGAACCCAGCTTTCTTAATCATTTAACCCAAGGTTCTCCAACCTTGGCAGCTTTTATGACTAGTGGACTTCAACTCCCAGAATTCCTCAGCCAGCATTTTGGGAATTGAAATCCACAAATCGTAAAAATGGACAAGGTTGGAGATCCTTGATTTAATTCACTGGGCACTCAACTGCTCCATTTCATTTCCAGGGAGAAAAAAAAAACTGCTAGGCCTGGAAGCCATCTTTTGCATTAGGCCTTCATTAGGCCTGCCACATCTACTACTGTGGGAAACTGGGAGGGGGGATTGTATGGAGCCCGGGTGATATATATAGTCAAAATAACATTCCTTTCCCCGAGAGTCAAGGACATCTTGCCCTGCTCCTGGAGGTTTGGAACTGGGAGGCATCTCCTGTTAGAACGGTGATTTGGTTGGGCCATGTGATGGACATGTGGGTGCTGGGCAGGGGCTTAGACAATGTTGGCGAACCTTTTCGGCACCGAATGCCGAAACGGGAGTGTGCGCTCGTGCGAGTGTGCATGTATGCTGGAAACCAGGAGAACAGCCAGTCGGTGTGCATGCACATAGCTGGCGGCTGCTCTTCTGGTTTCCAGCACACATATGTGCACCGGCCACCTGGTTTTCCAATTTCTGGCACGCATGTGTACACGAAGACCTGTTGGCCAGTGCGCATGCGTGCAAAGACCAGCTGGTGGGTGCACATGCACGCACCACAAAGATGATCTTCGAGTTTCTGGCGCATTCATGCACACTGGCTGGCTGGCCTTCGTATGCGAATGCGTGCCAGAAACCGGAAGACTAGGTGTCTGGTGCGCATGTGCACGCTGGAGACTGGAAGAGCAGCCGCCCGGCGTGCGCATGCACAGCGGGCGGCTGTTCTCCTAGTTTCTGGCGCTCCCACGCACATGAAGACCAGCTGGCCTGCGCACCGGAACCCGGAAAAGCAACGGCTCGCGTGCCCGGAGAGATGGCTCTGCGTGCCACTTCCGGCACACGTGGCATAGGTTTGCCATCATGGGGCTTGGACTTTCCTTTGGGTGTGGAAAACCTGGAAGCTTTCAGATTCGGGTTTTCCCAGATGTGCCAATACGACATCTCAAACAAAATGGAAGCTTGAGGAAATTCAAGCGTGGGGGTTTCCTTTCGTTGGGTGTGTTACTTGGAACCCCGACGAAGTCACTTTTCCCGCTAATTATGTTCCTTTTGTCTTTCAGTCTTCTCCTTGCCTCAACGGTGGTCTCTGTACCGTCACCTGGAATGACTTCAACTGTAGTTGCCCGCCCAACTTTACCGGGAAATGTTGTGAGGAGAAAGTCTGGTGCCAAAGAGATTTGTGTCCTCCACTTACCGCTTGTGTGGATGTCCCCTCCGGTTATGTATGTAAGTGTTCCTCCAGGAATTGTAGGACACTGTGGAAGTGTCCTTTTTTGTTTTGTTTTAAACGGGGTCACCCAGGAGTCTGGAGACCCTTTCCGTTTGATCTCAACCTGGTACAAATCTGTGGTAGATCCCATTACACTCAGCCTGCTAATTCTTTAAAAAGATGGCTTGAAAAGTCTTAGGTAGTTTCTAATCCAAGTCATGGGGTCACGCGCAAATCCTGAACATTCTTCTTGGTAAGCCTCCGTACGCTCTTGTTTTCCATTCCAGGAAATTTAAATTAATTTTTTTAAAAAGGGGGGTTTCCCACCTCACTCTGGAAAGAAGCTCAAGAGATTCACATCCACTTGTTGAAGTTCCCGGTTTTAGCTTCAAGGAACTTTCATTTATTGTGACTTACGTTTCCTCTGATTGTCCCAAAGGTGACAATTTTTCAGGAGGCGACTGGACGTTCTTGTTTTGTTTTTTCTTTTGAAGATGTTTTGCTTCTCATCCAAGAAGCTTCTTCCGCTCGGACAGGATACTGGGAAGTGAAAGGATTTATACTCCTTGCAGACATCTGGGCATTTCCATTCTTTTAGAGCAATGTTGACGAACCTTTTCGACACCAAGTGCTGTAACGGGGGTGCGCACAAGCCGGAAACAAGACGACCAGCCACCCGATGTCCATGCGTGCGCCAGGAAGATGATCTTCCAATTTCTGGTGTACACATATGCACCGGACAGCTGGTGTTCCGGTTTCTGTCACACATGCAGGTGCGAAGATCAGCTGGCCGGTGTGCATGCACGTGCCAGAAACAGAAAGATTATCTTCCTAGTGCGCCCATGTGCACCGAGCAGCTGCCCTTCTGGTTTCCGGCGCTCCCATGCGTGTGAAGACCAGCTGGCCAGTGCGCTAGAACCCGGAAGAACAACGGGCGATGGTTCACATGCCCGGAGAGATGGCTCTGTGTGTCACTTCCATTACATGTGCCTGCTATGACCTAGGCTTCCTGAGTCATTAAAACACACGAGTAGTCCCAAAAACCTCTTTTATTGCAACAGCTGTGAATTACGTTCATTCACAGCTGAGTCCCAATTAGTTGCAAAAAGTCCTTCGGGAGAAGTCCTTCGGGATAACCACCAACCTTTCTCTCCCTTGACACCCTGCCAAAGACCGACTTGGCAAAGCCACACAGAGTCCAGAATCGAAGAGATGCCGATTGGGAACAGAATTAACAACGTTGCTTTCCTGCAAAGGGCCCACGTGCCTTTGCTCCTCTTTGAAGCCTTATGGGAGGGGACAATCATCTCCAGGCCTTACTCCTAAGTCGTCCCTTTTGTTTTAACCGTTCATGTCTTCTGGCAGCTCTGCGCATGCACGCACTAGGAACAGGCTCCTCCTGTTCCTTTGCCTTTCTGCTGTCTGACTCTGGAGGCTCCGGAGTCCACATATCACTCCCAGATGGCCCTAGTCCCATCTCTGCCTCTGATGCAGAGCCCTCATCCGGGCCTTCCCCTGACTCCAGGACTGGCCTATGTTCCTCCCCAGCCTGTTCATGGTCTGACTCCGCTGCCAGCTCCGCAGGCTGCTGGTGGACCACAACAGTGCCATAGGTTCGCTGTCACGGTTTAAGTGAGTCGTTGAAGCACTTGGAGGTTTATTTGTGTCCTCAGGGTCACCTGAGTAGCGCTCCTGGTTCCTGCAGTCTCCAATTTTTCCTCTGGATAAACTTCCAAGTGCTTCAATGACCCTCTAAAACAGGGGTGTCAAACTCACGGCGGCGTCACGTGACATATCGGGACTTTCCCTCCCTTCGCTAAACCAGGTGTGGGGGTGGCCAGTGCATGATGCATTTTGCCCGCGGGCCGGGAGTTTGACCGCCCTGCTCTAAAAAGATGCAAACGACCACTTGTCTTCAAGGAGTATCAATCCTTCCATTCCCCACCATCCAGTCAGAGCTGAAGAAGCTTCCTGGATGAGAAGCGAAATGTCTTCAAAAGAAAAAACAAAACAAGAAAGTCCAGTTGCCTCCTGGAAAAGGCACCTTTGGGACAATCCGAGGAAACGTTAAGTCATAATAAATGAAAATTCCTCGAAGCTAAAACCGGGAACTTCAACAAGTGGATGTGAACCATGACCTAGAGGACTGAGAATCTCCATGGACTTTCCTCTGATTGATTTCTCTTCGCAAGGAACTCTGTTTATATATCTGGGTCATCTTAGTATTTCACTCCTTGTGATGGCCTCAGAATGGCCTTTGACGAGCGTTCATCTTCCTTGAACTTCCTGGTGGAGATCTTTGAGGTGCTCCTTGGTCAGGGGTGGGCTTCAAAAATTTTAGCAAGGGGTTCTCTGCCTGGTTGCTGGGTGAGTGTAGCCTAGTCAGCCTCCTGCACCATGGCGGGGGGTGTTTTTGCCCTCCCCAGGCTCAGGAGGCCTTTCTTGAGCCTCCGGGAGGGCGAAAACAGCCTCCCCAGGTTCCAGAGGCACTCTGGAGTCCTTCCTGAACTTCCAGTAGGCCCGTTTTTCACCCTCCCGGAGCCTCCGTGTGCACCCTGCACTTACCTGCATCCAAAAAGGGCTGTGTGGGGACTCCTGGGAGGGGGAGTGGTGGGGTGGGCGGGGCCAGCCAGGAGTGGGATTTGGGGGTTCTCCGAACTGCACAGAATCTTAGCTAGAGGTTCTCCCGAATCCCTGCAAACCCCCAGCAGCCTACCCCTGTTCTTGGTGTCTCCACTGGACAGCCCTTCCACTTGTGATCTTTTGATTACCGTGTCATCCTGCAGGTCTGGCCAATGCCACATTTGATGAGCACGATGCCGTTGAATTCACAGCCAATATGTCTATCGTCAGAGCTCTTCACAGCCTCCGCCTGGATTTCAGGACGCGGGACAGCGATGCTGTCTTGATACAAGCCATCGAGGAAGTCGATTCCCTTCTGGTGGCTATTCAAAACTCTTCGCTCCTGGTTGAAATCCGGAGCGGGAATGGAGTCGAGGGAGCCAACTTTCTCAGGCCCATGCCCGTCGCTGATGGCTCCTGGCACACCCTCTTGTTGACCATGGAAGAGCCCTCAGCCTATTCGTCAAGGTGGCATCTCCAACTGGACGATTCCACCAACACAACTCTCCTGGGTAATGCCGGCAACCTGGATTTCTTAAAAGGCAACGCATTTATTGTCTTGGCTGAAAACTTCACGGGCTGCCTCGGACACGTAGACATCGGGGGGCTGTTTTTGCCCCTGTCCAGCCACCCTTTTTACCCACAGCCAGAACAATTCGTTCAGGTGACCAGCAGGGCCCTCCTTCTGGGCTGCCAGGGAGAAGACATCTGTTCTTCCAATCCGTGTCATCACGAAGGCTCCTGCTTGGACCTCTTCAACGCCTTCGGTTGTGCCTGCCAGCCTGGGTGGGAAGGGCCGCTATGCGAGACCAACACGGATGAGTGTAAATCTACCCCGTGTCTTCACGGCGAGTGCGAAGACCTAGTAGGAGACTTCCAGTGCATCTGTCATAAAGGTTTCATCGGGAAACGTTGCCATATCAACGTAGATGACTGCATAAGGCACCAGTGCCAGAATGGAGGGACCTGTGTGGATGACGTCTACAGCTACACCTGCAAATGCCCGCCAGAATACTCTGGCCCTCTCTGCGAGTAAGTCTGTAGGAAGTCTGACTGGCAAAAATGAGAATTCTGGAGGTGTTTTTTCTCAGAGTCCCACCCTAACCTTTCTTTCCAGCCAGACGTCCCAAACATACTTTTCCCAAAAGCCAACTGGATTTTCTTAGATCTTTTTCCCTTGAAAACGTTTCGCTTCTCGTCCAAGAAGTTTCTTCGGTTCAAGAAGTTCACCCAAGAAGTTCTTCATCCAAGAACTGAAGAAGCTTCTTAAGATGAGAAGTGAAATGTTTTCAAGGGAAAAAAAAAAGCCAAGTGTCAGACTGCGGTGCTATCTCAAAATTAAATGAATTTCCAAACTGCCAATCTTTAAGGAAATCTTCCTTTAATTGAGCTCAGCCACCGGATCATGACTCCGTGTGGACAAGACTGACCTTTTGCCTCCCAATCCCTCCCTTTCCGATCCCCAAATCTCTGCTTCTCGTTGGCTGTCTTCCAAGTCATTCTTCAGACTTCTTTTCCTTGTCATTTCCCAGGAATGTGCCCCCTCCCCTCATTTCCACGACAACCGGGCTTCAAAGGGATTTAGCAGGCAAAAGTCTCAGAGTTTATCTTTCGCTCTCCTCTGCTCCCTCTATGCCAGCGTTGCAACGCTGACACCAAGAAAGTCCGGTTGGCTTTGGGGGAAAAAAAGCACTTTGAGACAACCATGACTGGATGATTGAGAATCTCCATAGACATTTTTCCAACCAGACCTTCTAAAGCAGGCGTGAAATGCTCCCGGTTCGGACCAGATCGCCCGATTCGGTAGCGAATGTGGCAGGCGATTCGGAGAACTGGTAGCAATCGTGTCATGAGACTCCACCCAGCCAACCAGTTGTCGTTACTTCTCGGTTTTAACCAGGAAGTAATTTATTATTTATTTATTTATTTTTATATGCCGCCCTTCTCCAGAGACTCAGGGCGGCTTACAGTGCGTTAAGCAATAGCCTTCATCCTTTTGTATATTTTATACAAAGTCAGCTTATTGCCCCCACAAACCGGGTCCTCATTTTACCCACCTTAGAAAGGATGGAAGGCTGAGTTGACCTTGAGCCTGGCGAGAATTGAACTCGCAGTAGTTGCAGGCAGCTGGATGTTAAATGCTGCCTTAGTAGGAGGCATTAGCCTCCTACGCCACTTAGGCTCTCAGGCTAATGTGTTTTGTACCCTCTGTGCATGCACAGGTTTTGCTTTTTTGCTTTTAAAAGTAAAAAAAAGGCTCCGATGATCACAGTTGAGCCGCCTGGTATGTGCCTACCACACAAGTCTTGTATATAAACTACTGTTTGTAAGATAAACCTCTGTGTCCTGTATTTTGCTCCTGGGTTGTCTCAAAATAGTCATCACGTTGTAAACACTCTGACAGGTTATGAGAAGAGAGAAGAGAAACCCAGTGAAACAGAGAGAAGGCCAGAGTTGACTAGAGAGAAGAGAAACCCAGTGAGAGCTTGCTCCAGAGTCAAAGGGGTTGTGCATCATGGTTTGATAGTGGTTAGTGGCTTGTGAAAGAAAGCAGGCAGCATGGCCTCCATCGGGAGTAATGGGAGGAGGTGTCTTGGCTGAATGAGACAAACTACCTCTCCAGGAATGTAAAGATGGAGATGTACCTGCGGAGAGAGGAGTTGTGGGACGATTGTTACTAATCCACCAGCAGTCCTGGATGATGGGGACCAGAGAAGAAATGAAAAGGCATTAGCCAGCCTAATTCTGGCTTTAGAGGACAATCAGCTGATAACATGTGAGGGGTCTCCAGTTTGCAAAAGAGTCGTGGGAAGCGTTGCGCAGTGTGTATTTTTTTGAAGAATGCCTACGAATGTCTGGTTTCTAAATCAAGGTTCTTCTTTCTTTCTTTCTTTCTTTCTTTCTTTCTTTCTTTCTTTCTTTCTTTCTTTCTTTCTCTCTCTCTCTCTCTTTCTTTCTTTCTTTCTTTCTTTCTTTCTTTTTTTAAAATTCCAGGTGGCCCTTCCCCCTGAACAATGTGGCAAGAACTTCACCTGTTTGAACGGCGGCAAATGCATGAGTGGGCCATGGGGAGCCAACTGCAGCTGCAAGATCGGCTACACGGGGAAGAAGTACGATGATGGCTTTGACCCTCCATCTTTAAAGGGCACTCCTTAAAACCCGTTTTGCCTCTTCGATCCTCACCCCGTCCCTCGTTTCTTTAAGGCCGCAGCTGATTCCTGCCTTGCTTTATTTCCAGGTGCCAGATCAACGTCAGCGATTGTGACCCCAGCCTTTGCAAAAACGGGGGGACGTGCCAGCACTCCATGAATCGATCCTGGTGTATCTGCGGTGCCAACTACGCTGGGGAATATTGTGATGTCAGTGTAAGCCAGAGTCTCTCTTTTCTTTTCCCAGGATAATGGGTTGGATTCCCACTACACTTGACTCAGAAAAGGAGTTAAAATCTTTTCCAAGTGTTTGATCTTGGGGGGCTGGGGTGGATGTGGCTGGGGTGGGCGTGGCCAGCTTGACATCCCTCATGTCTGGGGGTGGCCTGAGCGCTCTGCCAGCGGAAATGGGCTCCCGAGCTCCGTTTTCGGCTGCAACAGCCTCCTACAACCCTCTGCCAGCAAAAATGGAGCTTCGAAGTGCCACCTGTGGCCCTCGTGAACTCCGTCCCGAGCTCCATTTTCACTGGCAGAGGCACTGCGGGCTGGTCCTTTGCTGTTTCCAGGGCAACCAGTGGTCCCAGCCGGTTCGCACCTATTCAGGAGAACTGGTTGTTAACTTTCTAAGCAGTTCAGAGAACCGATCGTTGGAAGAAACCTTATTTTGTTTTTTTCCACTTTACAGGGCTAATCCTGTAAGGAAGGCAGGAAGGAAACATTCTGGTGTTGTTTCTAGCCTAATCTTTATTGCCCTGCTTACAGAAACTGCCTCTCTGGTTAACCCTTATTACATTGTAACAAGCTAAGGCGAAGCGCCCATCGGACGTGAGTGATGTTGAGTTGGCCACGCCTGCATGGTCACATGACCACCGAGCCATGCCTACCCAGCTGGTCCCAGTGGTGAAATTCAATTTGTTTTACTACCGGTTCTGTGGCCGTGGCTTGGTGGGTGTGGTGTGGCTTGGTGGACGTGGCAGGGGAAAGATACTGCAAAATCCCCATTCCCTCCCCACTCCAGGGGGAAGGATACTGCAAAATCCCCATTCACTCCCCACTCCTGGGGGAAGGATACTGCAAAATCCACATTCCCTCCCCACTCCAGGGGGAAGGATACTTCAAAATCCCCATTACTTCCCCACTCCTGGGGGAATGATACTGCAAAATCCCCATTCCCACCTCATTCCTGGGGGAAGGATACTGCAAAATCCCCATTCCCATCCCACTCCAGGGGGAAGAATACTGCAAAATCCCCATTCCCACCCCTCTCTGGGGCCACCCAGCGAGGCGGCCTTTGCCAGTTCTCCAAAACTCAAAAATTTCCGCTACTGGTTCTCCAGAACCTGTCAGAACCTGCTGGATTTCACCTCTGCCTTGCCCCAAAGGAATCCTTAATGCAATGATCCCGCTCAGGTAGAGGGAGTCCCAGATCCATGTTTTGATGTAGACCTGAAAATCCACTTCTTATCTACTTATACTTTGCCCTGTCCTGGTTTCTATCCCAGCGTTTCTAGGCTGTCAGGTGTCTCCACTGTTGAGATCACAACCTGGTATTTTTAGCATGGCTTACACCAACCTCACGTGGCTTGGTGAGGAAGCTGGGCAGGGTGAAGAGAGAGAGCTTCTGCAGGTGGAGGATGTATTTTGAGAAGGTGCTTTAAGTAGCCTGAAGGCCAGACAAGGAATAATGGATGGATACAAGGAGAGATTCAACCTGGAAATAAGGAAACATTTTCTGATAGTGAGAACAATCAACCCATGGAACAGAAGTTGTGAGACCTTCATCATGGGAGGCTTTCAAGAAGAGACTGGACTGCCATTTGTCAGAAATGGTGTAGGGTCTCCTGCTTGGGTGGGGAGGTTGGACTAGATGACCTACAAGGTCCCTTCCAACTCTATTCTGATTGATTGATTGATTCAACCTAGAAATAAGGAGAAATTTTCTGACAGGGACAACAATCCACCAATGGAAGAGAAGTTGTCTTCAGAAGTTGTGGGAGCTTCATCACTGGAAGCTTTCAAGAAGAGACTGGACTGCCATCTTTCTCCTGCTTGGGTGGAAGGTGGTGGAGGGGGGTCAGCTAGGGGTGAGATTTGGAGGTTCTCTGAACCAGCCATAACATTAGCTACAGGTTCTCCCGAACTCAGTGTTGCATTCTTCCTCACTGAATGCTTCAGCCAGGTCCCTGTATTCCTTGGGGACCTGGGGAGTCCCAGGTAGGGCTTTGATGGCCGTCGTGGCCACCTCTTGTTGGTGGGGGCCCTGAGGGCTCGTCTCAGTGGGTTTGGCTTCAGGAGGGACGGGCGGCAAGAGACCCACCCCTATCATGACTTTTCGGTAGCTGTCCTCCTATTTGATTGTAGGGGCCCATTTGTCTAGCCAGGTGAGTCCCAGGATGATTGACTCTGCCATTTTTGGGGCAAACCTGTAGCAGCCCACCCCTGCATTTATCCAGACTAATCTTCCCTTTCTTGATTTCTCTGGCAGAGAGGGAGCCTTCCAGGCTCTGCCTTCCCCTTCCCCTTGGTTGAAGTGGCAGTTCCGGTCGTCTGCAGCTGCCTCTTTCTTCTCATCATCATCCTCGTCCTCATGATCCTCACCGCCCGGAAGAGACGCCAATCCGAGGGAACCTACAGCCCGAGCCAGCAGGAAGTGGCCGGAGCTCGCCTGGAGATGGACAGCGTCCTCAAAGTCCCACCCGAAGAACGTTTAATATAAGCAACGAGGGGATTTGATAAAAGTTGGCACAAAAGTGTGGGCAGAGTGCTCCTTCCAACAGACCAGGATGGCAGTGAAGTTGGACGCCCATTGAGTGGGTGGCCCACCTGTATACCTGGGACCTTTGAGGACCTATACATGTGCCTTGTGGGTTCCTCTCTGGCAGTGGCAGCAACCGGCCTCTCAATCATACCACACACCTGTCCACTCCCATGCTTCAGAAGGGCTGTTCTAATCCAACAGGCTGCCTTGGCAAGTGGCTGTGCGGAAGGACGATCGGCCACAGACTTCTCTGAGCATCAACCAACCGACCGGAGAATCCACACGGAAGCCCTGCCTCTCTCCTCGGTGTGGTTTAGACTCTCTTTGTGATGGCCTCCAGGGAGGAGTTACAAAGTGGTCCTGTTGGGGTGGGCGATTGTGGCATTCTCGAAAGGCTCTACTTGTTTTAAGAGGGTTGTGATGGCTCTGGTTTTGACATGGGGGGATGGGGGGAAGGATTCGGAGGCCTTGTTTCTAGAGGCAGGGATAGGACATCCTGAATTGTCAGGATTGGCATAAAACGAGAGTCGTGACGAAGACACAACAGCTGGGCAAATGCACTTCCTCACTTTTGACATTTGAAGCCTCTTCTTAGATGGGTGCATTGCCTATAGGACTGTTCTAGGGGGACCTAGTTATAGACAAGACTCACAAGGAAAGTCTCAAATGCTGTCCCAAGTGGTCAAATAACACCTTGACCTATCCTAGACCATGTCAGCAGCTCCATGCTTCTTGGGAGCGGTTGGAACTACTGAGCTGCTCCTCATCCCTTCAGGCATCTCAGGTGTGTCCATAAAGAGGAGATGGACTACATGAGAAGCCAACAAGACAAGCCACCAGGAGACCACAGGGTATGAGCCGAGGTGCTGAATGTCAACACTGCCTCTGCTGAGCTGAATGCCAGTTGATAGAGAGGAGTTCACAGGGGGTATTCAGCTGGTTCGAACGAGTTCACCCGAACCGGTAGCAGAAATCGTAGGTGGACCCACTCACCCGCCTTGGCTCTATGCCATTGTATTTAGGTACGTTTTTGAGGTTTGGTCACATGCGTGGTAGGAGTGCGCACCAGCAAAGCACATGCGTGGTAGCTCTGGTGTACGCATGAAGGCTGTCCGCACACTCACGTTTGCGAACCAGTAAGGAAGGTAAGTGCATACCACCTCTGGAGGAGTTAGGTTCAAAAATCTCTGCCCCCATCTATTGTAGTGACCAATGTCTTCTGGGCCCTGCCTGCAAGCCATACCGGTTGGCCAGAAGGTCAGAATATTCATAGTCCCTGTAGGACTTTGGTGTTTGCAAAACAACCCACTACGGTTGAATGCAAACTAGCTGAGAGGATACGAAGGAAAAAGGCACCACAACTAGGTTGAAGTGTATTGTTTTGGACTGTGAAAGGCTGAGCAGCTCATGCCTGGGAACTCAACACAAACTGCACACCGATCATTAGACACACCCCGCAGCTGCGAGACGGAAGAGGGTGAACAACAAAAAAAAACTGCTTAACCCCAATAACACACCACAAAAAATCCAAAATCCTCTTCTGTCACAGAACAAAACATCTTAAATCATTCCCCCTCGAGTACCTACAATTTCTGTGACCTCCTTCACACGTTGCGGTACAATGCGCCACCCTAAAGTGCCTTGTAAACAAACCACTTGAAACAGCATTAACCCAAGATCCCTCAGCTTCACTTCACTTCACCCTTCGGTTATAGTTTTTGATAGACGTAGAAATGATTCCACTCCAAGAACACTCCTTAAAGAGCCATCTTCCCCCAAGGGAAGTGGAAGTTTCTACGCTAAAACATAGCGGGTAGAAGTTTAATTCTTGCTAACAAAGATTTCTCCTGTTTTAGTGTAGGTTGGCATATTTAGCTGGAGAATAAGTTTCAGTCTTAAGTTTTAGTCTCAGCTTTATCATCACTTGACTCATTCATCTGGTCCAGGGGTCAGCAACCTGTGGCTCTGGAGCCGCATGTGGCTCTTTCACCCCTCTGCTGCGGCACCCTGTCGCTCAAAATATGCGTCACAACCGCCAGTGTGTGACACCCACTTGGCACATGATTTATTGAGCTTTTCGACTCCCGGTAGGTCAACCATGGATAAATCCAAGAAAAGAAAAGTTTCAGAAGAAAACAGAATGCTTAATTCAACTACGTATGCTAGTTTTGTGGTCACTCAGGAAATAGTCAGGCACGGGAAGGGTTTTGTGGCTCCCGGTGTTTTCTTTTCTGTGGGAAACGGGTCCAAATGGCTCTTTGAGTGTTTAAGGTTGCCGACCCCTGAACTGGACCATGCAATGCACTGACACCTGGTGTTAGATTTATTCTGAGGACTAGTCATTATGCCAAAGGAGTTCAATTTAATTCCCTGTCACACCCCACAAAACGTTTGCCCTCCTTTTCAGAGGAGTAGCCATTCTTCCTTCAAACTGCTTGAAGCCCCCATTAGACCCACCAGCGATGAAACCTTTCTGCCGTTTAATTTATTTTTTGTTTTCTCATGTGAACTTTTTGATATTTAAATTTGGGGTTTATTTTTTCACGGGACGTCTTGCCGCAGATGGGAACGTCTGTTTACGCAAATGTAAGGAGCCCAATCCTGGTAATAATCCCAGTTGTAATTAAAAATGTACACACAGAAGCATTATCTGGGCTCTTTAACTTGAAACCGTGTTGACCTGGTAAGAGCTGGGGCCATCAGCTGCCCAAGAGTCCAAAATGGAAGGTAGGCAAATGGCCTCATGAAAAAGGAGAAACGGACATATCAGAATGCAAGTAGTCCTTGATTTATGACCACAATTGAGCCCCAAATTTTGGTTGCTAAGCGAGACATTTGTTAAATCAATTTTGCCCTGTTTCCCAACCTTTCTTTCTTTTTTTAAAAATTTGATTTATATGCCGCCCTTCTCCGGAGACTCAGGGCGGCTTACAATGCGCTAAGCAATAGCCTTCATCCTTTTGTATATTTATACAAAGTCAGCTTTTCTTTTCTTTCTTTCTTTCTTTCTTTCTTTCTTTCTTTCTTTCTTTCTTTCTTTCTTTCTTTCTTTCTTTCTTCCTTCCTTCCTTCCTTCTTTCCTTCCTTCCTTCCTTCCTTCCTTCTTTCTCTTTCTTTCTCTTTCTTTCTCTTTCTTTTCTTTTTTTAAAAATTTGATTTATATGATGTCCTTCTCCGGAGACTCAGGGCGGCTTACAATGCGCTAAGCAATAGCCTTCATCCTTTTGTATATTTATACAAAGTCAGCTTTTCTTTCTTTCTTTCTTTCTTTCTTTCTTTCTTTCTTTCTTTCTTTCTTTCTTTCTTTCTTTCCTTCCTTCCTTCCTTCTTTTTTTTTTTTTAATTTGATTTATATGCCGCCCTTCTCCGGAGACTCAGGGCGGCTTACAATGCGCTAAGCAATAGCCTTCATCCTTTTGTATATTTATACAAAGTCAGCTTTTCTTCTTTCTTTCTTTCTTTCTTTCTTTCTTTCTTTCTTTCTTTCTTTCTTTCTTTCTTTCTTTCTTTCTTTCTTTCTTTCCTTCCTTCCTTCCTTCTCTTTTTTTTTTTTAATTTGATTTATATGCCGCCCTTCTCCGGAGACTCAGGGCGGCTTACAATGCGCTAAGCAATAGCCTTCATCCTTTTGTATATTTATACAAAGTCAGCTTTTCTTCTTTCTTTCTTTTTCTTTCTTTCTTTCTTTCTTTCTTTCTTTCTTTCCTTCCTTCCTTCTTTCTCTCTTTTTTTTTTTTAATTTGATTTATATGCCGCCCTTCTCCGGAGACTCAGGGCGGCTTACAATGCACTAAGCAATAGCCTTCATCCTTTTGTATATTTATACAAAGTCAGCTTATTGCCCCCACAATCTGGGTCCTCATTTAACCTACCTTAGAAAGGATGGAAGGCTGAGTCAACCTTGAACCTAGCGAGATTCGAACCTGCAGTAATTGCAGGCAGCTGGTCTTAATAACAGGGTGCTTTAGACCACTGTACTACTGTACAGCCATGGTTCTTGCCACGGTTAAGTGAATTACTAAAGCTGTTAAGTTAATAACTCGGTTGTTAAGTGAATCTTAACAAAGATTCTAAAAGGGGACGCAGTGGCTCAGATGCTGAGCTTGTTGATCAAAAGGTCGGCAGTTCGAATCCCTAGTGCTGCGTAACAGGGGTGAGCTCCTGTGACTTGTCTCAGCTTCTGCCAACCTAGCAGTTCGAAAGCACGTAAAAAAAAAAATGCAAGGAGAAAAAATAGGGACCACCTTTGGTGGGAAGGGAAGAGCGTTCCGTGCGCCTTTGGCATTGAGTCATGCCGGCCACATGACCACGGAGACGTTTTCGGACAGCGCTGGCTCTTCGGCTTTGAAACGGAGATGAGCACCGCCCCCTAGAGTCGGGAACGACTAGCACATATGTGCGAGGGGAACCTTTACCTTTTAGTGAATCTGACTTCCCCATTGACTTTGCTCATCAGAAGGTTGCAAAACGTGATTGTATGTGTGACCCCCTCCGGGACACTGCAACGGTCATACAAGTGACTCAGTTCCCAAGCTGAAACTTCTTCAGCTCTGACTGGATGGAGGGGAATGGAAGGATTTATGCTCCTTGCAGACAGTTGGTCATTTGCATCCTTTTAGAGTCATTGAGGCCACTTGTAGGTTGATCTGTGTTCTCAGGGTCACTTGAGTGGTGCAAATGGGTGTGGAGCCTCCTTGGAACTCTTGAAGTGGCCTCAACGACTTGCTAAAAGGATGCAAATGACCAGCTTGTCTGCAAGGAGCATAAATCCTTCCATTCCCCTCCATCCAGTCAGAGCTGAAGAAGCTTCTTGGATGAGAAGCAAAACGTCTTCAAAAGGAAAAAAAAAAAACAGAAGGTCCCGTTGCCTCTTGGAAAAAAAGCCCCTTTGGGACAGTCGTAAGTCCCTTTTTTCAGTGCCATTGTCATTTTCAATGGTCGCTAAACGAACTGTCGTAAGTCGAGATCTACCTGGAGTTTATTTGTCCAAAAGGATATGGTGGCTGTTGGTGGTCGCGAGGGACTTACTAGTTGCAAGGTGCTTCTGATGTTGACGTAGTTTTTTTAATGTGCCGAGTTCCTCTCAGGTCTTCTCTCAGTGGCACCTGGCTTCCTCTCACCTGAGCTGCTTCTCCAGAACAAGATGCATAGATTGTTTACAAGTTCTAAAATACTTGCACCTAGGAGATTATGGGTTATCCCAGCAAACAGCCTCCCATGTTTACATCTCTGCCATATTCTGAAGCAGCAGGCGGTTCATCCTTTGTTCCAAATGACACCTTTGTGGAGAGAACATGAGGATGGACTGATCCAGGGATGGGATTCAAAAATTTTAGCAACACGTTCACACCTGGTGGCTGTGGCCATGGTGGGTGTCGCTTGCTCAGCCTCCTGCACCACGACGGGGAGGGGCGTTTTCACCCTCCCCAGGCTCCGGAGGCTTTCCTTGAGCGTCTGGGAGGGTGAAAACGGCCTCCCCCGGGCTCCAGAGGCCCTCCGGAGGCCGGAAACAGGCCCGTTTCTGGACTGCCGGAACTTCTGAGAGGCCTGTTTTTCACCCTCCCCAGACTTCAGAGGCTTTCTTCGAACTTCCGGGAGGGCAAAAACAATCTCACCCGGGCTCTGGAGGACCTCTGCAGACCAGAAACAGGCCCATTTCTGGACTTCTGGAATTTCCAGGTGTCCCGTTTTTCACCCTCCCCAGGCTCCAGAAGGTTTTATCAAGCCTCTGGGAGGGTGAAAATGGCCTCCCCCGGGCTCCAGAGGCCCTCCGGAGGGTGGAAACAGGCCTTTTCCAGACTCCTGGAACTTCTGAGAGGCCTGTTTTTCACCCTATCCAGGCTCCAGAGCCTTTTATCGAACCTCTGGGAGGGCAAAAACAATCTCACCCGGGCTCTGGAGGCCCTCTGCAGGCCAGAAACGGGCCCATTTCTGGACTTCTGGAATTTCCAGGTGTCCCGTTTTTCACCCTCCCCAGGCTCCAGAAGGTTTTATCAAACCTCTGGGAGGGTGAAAATGGCCTCCCCCAGGCTCCAGAGGCTCTCCGGATGCCGGAACAGGCCTGTTTCCAGACTGCCAGAACTTCTGAGAGGCCTGTTTTTCACCCTATCCAGGCTCCAGAGGCTTTCTTCGAGCCTCCGGGAGGGCAAAAACAATCTCACCTGGGCTCTGGAGGCCCTCTGCAGACCAGAAACAGGCCCATTTCCGGACTTCTGGAATTTCCAGGTGTCCCGTTTTTCACCCTCCCCAGGCTCCAGAAGGTTTTATCAAGCCTCTGGGAGGGTGAAAATGGCCTCCCCCGGGCTCCAGAGGCCCTCCGGAGGGTGGAAACAGGCCTTTTCCAGACTCCTGGAACTTCTGAGAGGCCTGTTTTTCACCCTATCCAGGCTCCAGAGGCTTTTATCGAACCTCTGGGAGGGCAAAAACAATCTCACCCGGGCTCTGGAGGCCCTCTGCAGGCCAGAAACGGGCCCATTTCTGGACTTCTGGAATTTCCAGGTGTCCCGTTTTTCACCCTCCCCAGGCTCCAGAAGGTTTTATCAAGCCTCTGGGAGGGTGAAAATGGCCTCCCCCAGGCTCCAGAGGCTCTCCGGATGCTGGAACAGGCCTGTTTCCAGACTGCCAGAACTTCTGAGAGGCCTGTTTTTCACCCTATCCAGGCTTCAGAGGCTTTCTTTGAGCCTCCGGGAGGGCAAAAACAATCTCACCCGGGCTCTGGAGGCCCTCTGCAGACCAGAAACGGGCCCATTTCCGGACTTCTGGAATTTCCAGGTGTCCCGTTTTTCACTCTCCCCAGGCTCCAGAAGGTTTTATCGAGCCTCCAGGAGGGTGAAAACGGCCTCCCTCAGGCTCCAGAGGCCCTCCGGAGGCCAGAAATGGGCCCATTTTTCGCCCTTCCAGAGCCTCCACGTGGGCCCTGCACTTACCTGGCATCCAAAATGGGCTGCATGGACACTCCTAGAAGGGGCGGGCGGGAGAGGCCAGCCAATCTTTGCAACCACCAGTTTGTCAAACCAGATGTAAAATTAGCATCTGGTTTGCCCGAACTGGTCTGAACCGGCTGAATCCCATTCCTGGACTGATCTAACACCAGCCCAGATGGTCAACCACAGACACAGCCTGAAGATCGCTACTCTATTCCCACTCCATACACCAAACTTTGAAGAAGGAAGCCAACACTCTGGGCCCATTGGATGGGCTTTAAATATTTTACTATCCAGAAGTAGGTAATATCAAAAACATATTCCTTCCCCCACCCCCAGGAAAAGTGATCATACAAAAACATGGAAAGAGCCTTGTCAAATGCAGCGGTTTTGGACAGAGGCGTCACACGAGGCCGACAGAAGATCTACAGGTGGGTGTCCCCATTGTTTGGAGGAAATCAACCATGTTCTTGGGATCTACAGGCTTAGGTGTGGAGATGGAAGCCAAACTAACTCTTCAGCTGGTAGGAAAAATCTCAAAAGGGTGATAGAAACGGGAGGGAAACCCGTCGAAAAAGCAAAAGAGATGGCGTTGAAGAGTGACTTCTCACGTTTTGTTACACAGTGAGTTCTTGTGGACATAGACAATTGGCTAGCCTAATTCCCACACGACAACTGATTAAAATAACAACAAATTGCCCAAGTTTTGTTTTTTAAACCCCTCCCAAATTTAAGTGAGGAAAAGAAAGAGAGGCAGGGGTACCAAGAGGTCCTTGAACAGGTCTGAATTTTGAGGCGTGGTGGTCCTTTTATCTCCCGAAACATCCTAGATGGAAAACTTGGGTCTTCAGCAGGAGTTGAGAAATAAGACCACGCAGGTAGAAGTCTTCTGGCTTTCAGGTTATGAAGACCAAAGCCAATTAAACCAGGGCTGAAAGTCATTTTAACAAATTGTGTCTATCACCGCCGTCCTACCGACACCATCCCTGTTCCATCACGCAGCAGATGGATGCTGCTGTCCATCCATCCACACCTTTCATACTAGACTAGGATATTGGAGGGACCATCCTCCTCCCATCTGGCTGGGGAAGGAAGCCACCAAGTAACACTTCGATAACTAGACACATACAGGTTCGTGTAACATCAGCACAGTGACTTGGGGACACCACAATCACGTGTCTTGCTCTAAAAAAAAGGTTAACAACTGCTGGTAGTGCCAATTTGTGGATAGGTACGAAGAGACGTGTCATCGCTTCCGTGAAAAGTGGTGTGGTGCTAACCCCGTGAACGCTAACCCCGGAGCGTGAAAGGGGTGCCTTAGCAAAGGGGACTATTGTGCGTAAGAGATTGGAGGGACCGGGAAGGGAGTTGGAGGAGAGCACGGGGCCTTGAACCCATGCCGGCTAAACGTACGTCGGAGAAGGTACCACAAAATGAACGGAAAGGGTTCAGATTGTGATCAACGTGGCTTGGGCATCTAGGCTCAAAATATCTGGTAGGGAGGCATGTGCTCACCTGGGAATGTGACAGGCTCATGATTATGGGGATGCAAGGTTGGCCAAGAAGAGATCAGGATTGACCTTATCCATGGTCTACTTATCTTGAGGAAAAGTTGGAAGAACGTCAAGGTGCCCAGATCACCTTTCCAATGATGGTGGCGGGCGAAAAGGTGAAGAAGGGGGGTCTCCTTGTTCCTATTCAGGGCTTAGCCAAGTCTTCCTCCTAATAGAGAGAAAGCAGTGCCAGCCGGTTGACCTTTCTTTGCTTGGGGAAATACTGCTCTTTATATTGACCCAACACCCAGGAGTCTCGGACGCCAACTGGACTCACTCGAACGTTTCCCATTGCTTTCTTAACTGCTCGACTTTACCGGGCGTGACCGAGACTTCCTGCTTGGTTTTATTTAACAAGTCTTCAAAGGGGTCTTTAGCCAGCTGAGTCTTAGAAGGACACAAGGCAGGTTCTCCAACCTTGGTCTTGGGGGGAAGTAGCGGGAGGTTGCTGGGCCTCGCGGCCAGCCTTGTCTTGACCGCAGAATGAGTAAGAGGCAATGTCCGGATCTTAGAAGGACCACTGGGCTGCGTTGGTCGAAGGACGCCACTCTGGACAGGAAGCTGAGCTGGCGGTGGGGCTGAGGGAGATTTGGCGAAGAGGTTGGGCATGGAGAGGGTCAGCGGGTTGAGGGGAGGCCTCTGGGGCTGGAAGAAGCTGGAGTTGGACGTGATGTAGCTGGAACTGTAAGCGTGGCCCAATGAGGGAGCAAACGGGCCGCCCGGGGGCCTGACTAGGGTGAGCGGCAGCGGCGTCGGCACGGCCTGTACAAAGGGGTTGAGAGACGGTTGACCAAACGGCGTCACCGAGGGAGGGTATCCCAGAAGTTGACGGAAGGGTGCTGATGTAGAGGGCATGAGGTCTTCTCCTGTGGATGGGAAGCTGCCGGCAGGGCTGGGAGATGAAGAACCTAGCTGGCTTCTGGAGCCTGACAGAAAGCGGGCATCTTGGGCACCTTCTCCTGACTTCAGTGGATCGAGAAGAGCAAGGAGAGAGTCACTGTCTCCACTCTTGTCCTCTGCGTTGATCTTGACTGGTTGGAGCAGTTCTCCTTCAGTGATGGCAGTGGATGAAAGCTGGACTTGGTGAGGAGCAAAATCAGCCAGTTGCTGGTCCAGAGAGATGTTTCTGGCTGCAAAGGTCTCCTGCAGAAGCTCAGAGGTCAGGTTGCCAGGCCCTGCAAGGCAAGGGGCAGCTTCTGGGGGTGCCTGCTGCTTGGAAAGCCGGGGTGGAGGAGGCGGTGGAACAATGCCCAGCTCTGGCGTCTTCCTTCCCTGTGGTCGCGGGATGGTGATATTCCCTTGGGCAGCAGGAGAACTTCCAACTTCCTTCTCGGGAAGGTCCAGAATGGCGTCTCTGCTCTGTGGTCTCCTTGGGACAGGAGGCACATTCCTCAGTGGTCTCTCTGGAGATTTCGGAGAGTACTTTGTGGAAAGGGCCATGTCGTCATGGCCTAGGCCCCAGAACTGCTTATAAGGGTGAGAAAGCTTCATCCCTGGGGTGGTCCAGCTCTTTTCAGCAAAACCAAGGTCCATCCGCTGTCAGAGAACAGAAAAATCATGGGTGTCTTTCTCCAAACCCTCTAACTGACTCTCCAGATCTGAGACTACCTCTCACTAGGGCAGGGGTGTCAAACTGGATTTCTTCGAGGGGCGGATCAGCATTGGAGTTCTCCTCTGTGGGCCAGCAGGGATGGGAAGTGGGGGTGGGTGGGCGGGTAAGATGGGACGGATGCCTCCTGCAGCAATCTGCTGGCCGAAAATGTTTTTGGTTAGCAGTGTGCTGCTGGAGGCCCGGGAGGCCGAAAATGCACCGTGTGGAGGTACCGTGGGGCCTCTGCGTGGCCCGTTTTCGGCTGGCAGTGCTGCTGGAGGCCAGGGAGGCTGAAAATGGGCCGTGCGGGGGCCTCTTGGTACCTCCACACGGGGCCCCCACGATGCCTCCATGCAGCCCATTTTCAGCTGGCAGTGATGCTGAAAGCCGGGGAGGCAGAAAATGGTCACATGGGGCCCCTTGGTACCTCCACGCAGGGGCCCCTTGGTGCCTGCGTGTGGCCAAAAATCGGCTGTGCAGGTACCCTGTGGTGGCTCCGCATGGACCATTTTCGGCTGGCAGTGCTGCTGGAGGCCAGGGAGGCCAAAAATGGGCCGCGTGGGGGCCCCTCAGTACCTTCACATTGGGGCCTCGTGGTGCCTCCGTGCAGCCCATTTTCGGCCAGTAGAGTGCTGCTGGACACTGGGGAGGCCAAAAACGGGCCATGTGGGGCCTCTGCGCAGCCCATTTTTTTGCCAGCAGAGTGCTGCAGGAGGCCATAGAGGCCGTAAATGCACCGGTCTTTTGATATTTCCAGTCCAGTACCGCAGGCCAGATTTAAGCACTCCGTGGGCCAGATCTGGCCCCGGGTCTTGAGTTTGACACCTCTGCACTAGGAGGAGCCATCTTTCCTTTTGTGCCAGCTGGGGGACTTTCCTCCCATTTCCTCAAAATCCACTTGGGGAAAGTGTTTCTGGAATCACCCTCAGGTTCTCCTTCTTCGGTGGGTCTCCTGCCCTATCAAGACTTCAAGATGCCCCTTGTAAGTTCTTCAGGTCTTCCCATCCTACCGCTGTACCTTATCTCATCCATCTGGCTTCTCGTCAGCAAATAACCAAATATACCCATCTCTAAATCCCACCACTACAGATAATCCCCAACTTACAACCAGTTGACTTAATGACCATTGAAAATTAAGAAGGGTGTGGAACAAGTATTTTACGGTCAACCATAAAACATGGGTAACTTGTCTTATGACCACACAACTTACAAGCAGAAATCCAGTTCCAATTATAGTTGGAAGTCAAGGACTATCTGTAGCAGAAGCTCAGATGTTTTCAGCCATCCCCACCTGCTCAAGTCCCATACCTGATAATCAAAGGAGCACTGTTGGTCTTCTACTTCTTCTTTGGAAATCCTCAGATCTTCTAAGCTCCTTGCTTGGCTGAGCAGTTGTGGCTGCGTTGTTACCACCTCCAGTCCTGTAAAAATGTCTTCCAGAAGACTAATATCTGCAGGACTTTCTGGAGTGGTTGGGTCAACCTGGTTGTCATCTTGGAATTTCTCGGGACTGATGCCTTCTTCTCCATCGCCACTGTCGGATTCCTTCAGAGCTCGATACGGCTGAGGCCTGTCAGAAGGAAAACAATTGGTCGTTCAGAGACAGGATCCTTCTGGAGAAATCTACCCAAATCCTTCATAGTCAGAGAAAGCCAGAAGGAGCTGATGAGTGTGTGATGAGTGACAACTCCACATTATCTGGGAGCTAAGGCTCTTAAGGACAGCCTGATAGCCCCACAGAAACGTGGCCACAAGGTCCTCTTTTTGGCAAAGGCCACACCAATGAAGACTTGAGGAAGCTCAGCAAGGGCTCCGTTGCTTACACCACAAAACTACGTTAGCGTTCTGCTGGGGTTTTTGTGCGCTTTCAACACAAAAGAAGACACAGCCCAGCTCCAGATGGATGACATCAAGCATGCATTTTCTGATGGCAAAACCAACGCAACAAAGGAGAAGTGCGGTCAAGGCAAAGAGGAGGGGAAAATCTTAGCCAGCATGAGACACCAGGACTTTGAAGAAGACCCAGGAGGTCCAGAGGTCCTCTCTTTCCATTGGGCCATGAAGTAAGGATGTGACCAAAATGAGACATGGACTTCCTGGATCCAAAAGGACAACCTACCGAGCAAGGAAGTCATGCAGGGCCTCTGAAGACCATGAGGAAAGATCTCCAGATGGCTCCAGATGACTCTACACAGACCATCCCTGGTGAATCTTGGATTCTTGAATCCTTAAGCAATCCATAATTTCTTAAAACGATGTCTCCTCCATGAAGGAGCACCATGGTCCATTAGGAGGAAGACGGGGCTGAGCAGGGAGCAAACGAGGCTTCAAACCTTGGGACTCGCATCTCACGCCTATGTTAGGGGATGGCAGTGCAAGCCAAATCCAATTAACACCCACTTCCCCCAACTCACACAATCTCCCAGGGTGGTTTTTGAGTGGCATTCAAAACAAGACTTGAGACGGAAGGAAACACCAATAAAGACAATAGAAAAGAGCTGGGCGGGGAGCTTTGTCCATCTCTGTCCATCACCTCAACTCATGGATAGTGCATGAGTAGAGAATTGCTCCCTGCTCTCTGTTAAGAGGAGGCGATGTGGTTGGGACAATAATGAGTTTTTGGTCATAAGTCACACAACGGTTTGGATTCCCACGTGCGTAAGGGCGAGATGGGTAAAATGAGGACCCAGATTGTTGGGGGCAAGAGGCTGACTCTATAAATCGCTTAGAGAAGGCTGTAAGGCACTGTGAAGAGGAGTATAAGTCTAAGGGCTATTGCTATTTACCTCTCTCTCTCTCTCTCTCTCTCTCTCTCTCTCTCTCTCTCTCTCTCTCTCTCCCTCCCTCCCTCCCTATCTATGAGCCATGGTGGCACAGTGATTAAAATGCAGTACTGCCGGCTAACTCTGCCCACAGCCAGCAGGTCGATCCTGACCGGCTCAAGGTTGACTCAGCCTACCATCCTTCCGAGGTGGGTAAAATGAGGACCCAGATTGTTGGGGGCAAGAGGCTGACTCTGTAAACCGCTTAGAGAGGGCTGTAAAAGCACTGTGAAGCGGTATATAAGTCTAAGTGCTATTGCTATTTATCTCTGTCTGTCTGACTACTCTCTCTCTCTCTCTCTCTCTCTCTCTCTCTCTCTCTCTCTCTCTATCTATCTATCTATCTATCTCTGCCTGCCTGCCTGCCTGCCTGCCTGCTCGCCTGCCTGGTACCTACCTATGAGCCATGGTGGCACAGTGATTAAAATGCAGTACTGCCGGCTAACTCTGCCCACAGCCAGCAGGTCGATCCTGACCGGCTCAAGGTTGACTCAGCCTTCCATCCTTCCGAGGTGGGTAAAATGAGGACCCAAATTGTTGAGGGCAAGAGGCTGACTCTGTAAACCACTTAGAGAGGGCTGTAAAAGCACTGTGAAGTGGTATATAAGTCTAAGTGCTATTGCTATTTATCTTTGTCTGTCTGACTATTATCTATCTATCTATCTATCTATCTATCTATCTATCTATCTATCTATCTATCTATCCATCTATCTATCTCTACCTGCCTGCCTGCCTGCCTGCCTGCTCGCCTGCCTGGCACCTACCTATGAACCATGGTGGCACAGTGATTAAAATGCAGTACTGCCGGCTAACTCTGCCCTCTGCCAGCAGTTCGATCCTGATCGGCTCAAGGTTGACTCAGCTTTCCATCCTTCCAAGGTGGGTAAAATGAGGACCCAGATTGTTGGGGGCAATAGGCTGACTCTGTAAACCACTTAGAGAGGGTTGTACAAGCACTGTAAAGCGGTATATAAGTCTAAGTGCTATTGCTATCTCCCGGTGACTTTCTGCTTGCAGCTGGCTATTCATCTTCAGGGTACTAGAGAGTCGGGCAGAGGCAGGAAAACCCAGTGCCAATCCAAGCCAGCGTAGGAGAAGAGTGAATCTCGGCACTCCTCGGCCCGGAACCAGAATGCGTTTGCTTGTCGCCAGGGGACATATATAATGCGGGGAACATGCGTGCACAGAGACATGACACTTGCCACAGAAGCCTCAAAGCAAGGGGGAAAGGCTGATGGGCCAGCCAAGGGCTCCGAGCAAGGCAAGGAAGCAGGGCGAGCGATAGCAATAGTCAAGATAGACACCATTCAAAAGGAGCAGAGAAGAGAAAACTGTCAGAGAAGGCAGAGACAGGCCCATCTTCCTGAGGAAGCTCATCGCCCGAGGAATCCTCCAACAGGAAGACCGTATAGTGGCGCGTGGGCTTGACCAGGCTGAAGGAAACAGGGAAGAGGAAGAGAAAAAGATTATATATATATATCTATATATATCTCGCCGGACCAAAACCTGCGGAGGGAAAAGGAAGCCAAACCACAGAAGCCAACATTCGAGGAGAAAAGGATTTCTCAGGTCTCCAACTCCGAAAAGCTTTTGGGCTTTGAACTGAAGAATCTCTCTTCGGATTTAATAGAATTGGAAAGGACCGTGTAGGAGGGGTGAAATGCTCCCAGTTCGGACCGGCTCGGGCGAGTAGGTAGCGATGGCGGCGGGCAGTTGGGAGAACCGGTAGCAAAAATCCCTGCCCCCGCCTCCCCATGTCCAGCTGAGACGCGCGATCATCAGAGGCTTTTTTTCTTTTAAATGCCTCTGACGACCCAAGCTCTGACGATCCCAGCTGAGTTGCCTGATCGGCAGAGGGTTTTTAAAAAACCCTCTGCCTTTTGAAAGCATTTTTTTACATGGTTTTACATGTAAAAAATGATTTAAAAAAAAAAATTGGCCACGCCCACCGTCACATTCCCCCCACTAAGCCACGCCCACAGAACCGGTAGTAACAAATTTTAGATTTCACCACTGCTGTGTAGGTTATCTAGTCCAACCTGTTGTGACTCCGACCCCGTCTTATCGGAGGGAGAAGACTCCGAAGGTGAAGAAGAGGAGCTGGCCAGGCCTCCCTCTCCAGGACCCTCCTCTCTGGCAATGCCTCAGGTGTCTCCCGAGGGAGAAGAGATTGGCCAGGAGCCAGGTATCTCCGAACAGTCGCAGTCAGACAGTGACGGAGATAAGTCTTGGCTGGATCCACGCCAGCGTCGGAGAGACAAGCGCACACAGCAGAAAAGGAGGCGTGCCAGAGATTAAGCTGAGTCACTGGACCACACCCCACAGGGGATAAAAGGGGGTGTGGTGGCCATTCAGGCTCTGTGACGGACAAAACTAAACAACTAGCGAGTCGCATTGTATCTCTGAAACTACGTTATCTGCCTGCCTTGGATTTAATATGGACTGGACTTGACAATTCTGTGGCTTTGTGTATTTGTTTTGGTTTATCTGATGGAGGAGGAACAGCTCCCTCTGTGAGTAAAGTTCTTGGCAAGCAGCTACTGGGTTGCTGCCAATCCTGTTATCGAAGAAATTTATTGTCTGCAAGTTTTATTTAACCCCTGGCTGACTGTTTGTGTGCGTGTGTGAGACGGGGACAGAACAAACCCCATTCCACTGGGTGGGGGGCCCAAGCAGGAGACCCTACACCAGGGGTGTCAAACTCAAGGCCCGCAGGGGAGGATCTGGCCTGCCAACTGTCAGAAATGGCGTAGGGCAGTGATGGCTAATCTTTTTGCAGACCGAGTGCCCAAAGCGCGCGCGCATGCAAATATGCATGCATGCACCCCAAAATGTAATGTGCATGCGGACCCCATACATGCACCCCGCCCCCAGTTCATGCACATGCAGCCCCTTGCATGGGCCCCACCCCCCCACGCATGCACGGCAGAGACCCAAAGACTAATTGGCCGTCGGAAGGCGCGGGTGCATGCGCAACAGAGCTGAACTGGGGTGACAGCTCTTGTGCCATCAGAAAGGGCAGTGCGTGCCACCTCTGGCATGCGTGCCATAGGTTCGCCACCACGGGCATAGGGTCTCCTGCTTGGGCAGAGGGGGGGGATTGGACTGGATGACCTACAGCAGTGATGGCTAAACTTTTTCCCGTCGTGTGCCAAAAGGGAGGGGAGCATGGGGGGGGGTCACGCGCATGTGTGCCCACACCCATAATTTAATGCGCTCCACTCCCCGCGCACGACCCCCCCCTGGGCTCCCCCCCGCTTTTGGCATGTGATGGCACGGTGGGCCTGGTAGGCCCGTTTTTCGCTCTTCCCAGGCTCCACAGCCTTTCTAGGAGCCTGGGTAGGGTGAAAACAGCCTTCCCCTCCCGCCAGAGGCCCTCCGGAGGCTGGAAACGGCCCATTTGCCATCTTCTGGTGGTCCCAGAAGGCCCGAAAATCAGTTGGCGGAGCTGAGCTTGCGTGCCCACTGATACGGCTCCATGTGCCACCTGTGGCACGCGTGCCATAGGTTCATCATCATGGACCTACAGGGTCCCTTCCAACTCTGTCCATCTGAAAGCATTGGGAGGGCTCTTCCTGCTGAACAGGGGTTTGCATTTGGGCGAAACCCACAATTTTGCTGAAGAGCCGGAGGGAGGCCTGTTGAAAAACCTCCAGGGCTATTTCCTTCCCCCACCCCTCCCACCTTCGCTGGAGGCAGCCGAGCCTCTTCCCTCATTAACCCAATTCGGTGCTTCCTCTCCCAGCGGCTGCCACCCGCCACCGGCTCTCGTTTGGCACACAAAGAGCTGTCTACGCGGAAAGGTGGTTGGGCCCGGGGCTGAAACAGCAGCCTGTCCGTCAAACCCGAGGCTCGGCACGGTTGCAAGGCTGCAACGGCTCTCGTCTTTCCCCCCGAAGCTCCCGTGCAGATGGCTTGCTGATCTCCTTCTAATGTTTAGTTTAACGTGTCTCCGGTTAGTGCCGGCGCCTGACAGCCGTGACAGCCCGTAGCTGTTCCTTTTTAAATATCATGTCAGAAACACGGCACCATAAAGCCGTGGATGTGTTCCGTGGCGGCTCTGTCTCCCGTTCGGAGAATCGGCGCTTCGGTTTTTTAATGAGGACAATCTGCATTTCGGGGGCTTCCAACCCCCCTCCCCACCCTGTCCTCCCCCCCCCACATATGTCAAGATGCCTGGACAAATCCACAGCCATCTCGCGGCTGGCCAAAAACCAAGAGCTGACAAATGTAGATATTTCAAATTTAATTGACACCTAAATGTACTTAAGACAGATAAATGAGAGGGGAGGACTGGAGGGGGAAGAAAAGGGGGGAGAGAGTGAGAGAGAAAGAGGAGAGAGAGAAAGAGAGAGAGGGAGGGAGAGAGAGAAGAGAGAGAGGAGAGAAAGGAGAAAGAGAGGAGAGAAAGAAAGAGAGGAGAGAGAACAGGAGAGAGAAGGAGGGAGGGAAAGAGAGAGAAGAGAGAAAGAGCGGAGAGAGAGGAGAGAGAGAGAGAGAAAGAGAGAAGAGAGAAAGAGAGAGAGAGGAGAAAAAGAGAGGAGATAGAACAGGAGAGAGAAGGATGGAGGGGGAGAGAGAGAAAGAGGAGAGAGAGAGAAGAGAGAAAGAGAGGAGAGAGGGAGGGAGAGAGAGAAGAGAGAAAGAGAGAGAGAGGAGAAAAAGAGAGGAGAGAGAACAGAAGAGAGAAGGATGGAGGGAGAGAGAGAGAGAGAAAGAGGAGAGAGAGAGGAGAGAGCGAGAAGGAAGAGGAGAAAAGGAAGAGAGAAAGAGAAGAGAGGGAAGAAAGAAAGGAGAGAGAGAGGAGAGAAAAAGGAGAGAGAGAGAGACAGAGAGAGAGAGAGAGAGAGAGAGAAAATAGCGAAGAAATAGTGGGTGAACAGTTGGGGTAGGCATTCAACGACAAGAGTTTTTGTCAGGAAAAGGCTGCTCTCCTGCGAAATGGGGCTCTTTTTGAGTGAGCGTTTGGTGGGTACGAGCAGTAGCCTTTGGTGACCCTCAACTTTAAATCTGCTGATCCAAAACTGGTCCCCTTCCTCAGACAAGGGGGCTGGGCTGTGAAGCCGAAGGCCCGCCCTCTCCCTTAAGACCTGACCACCCAGCCAGCCCCACCTGGAGAAAGATGAGACCAAAACAGGAGCTGGGAAGAAGAGATGTCTCCCTGCAGGCAGGGACCTGAATCCTACCTCCTGCAAACTCTTGACTTGGGGACAAACACTGCTATGGCTAGGAAAAGGGGAACGTGCCTCGAAACCCTCCTGAGAAATGAGACGAGGCACATGGGCATCCCTCGGGCTCTTGAGTCTAAAACCGTGATGGCAAACCTATGGCACGCGTGCCACAGGTGGCACGCATAGCCATATCGGTGGGCACGCAAGCTCAGTTCCATGGGTGGGACCAGAAGTTGGCAAATGGGCCATTTTTGGCCTCCAGAGAGCCTCCAGGGTGTGTGTGAGGAAGGCCGTTTTCGCCCTCCCCAGACTCCTAGAAAGGCTCTGGAGACTGGGGATAGCAAAAAATGGGCCTTCCAGTCCCACCAGAAATCAGCAAACGGGCCGTTTCCGGCCTCCAGAGGGCCTCCAGGAGGGTGCGGAAGGTTGTTTCGGCCCTCCCCAGGCGCATGCATGGGGGCAGGGCGCATAGAATTATGGGTGTGGGCATGTGCACCCACCCCGCTCCTGGCCCGCGATGGCAAAAAGGTTAGCCATCACTGGTCTAGAACTTAGAAGAATATTCAAGGAGAACCTCAAGAGAAGTGCAGAGATGGCGTCCTTCCTCACCAAGAAACGGGCAGGGGGTGGGGGGAAACCCAACAGGCAGCTTTTGAAGAAGGATGGGGAGATCCACAGAGATGCTTCCTGCGCCAACTAAAGATCTCTAGATCAGCGGTGAAATCCTCCGCGGATTGCCACCGGTTCACTACCAGTGCATGCGTGGTGCATACCAAAAGCATGCTGCACGCAGATGTGCAGTGCGGTGCCAAACGCACGCTGCGCGTGCATACACAGTGCGCACCAAATGTGTGCTTCACGCGGAAAAAGGAGGCTGAACAAGGTAAGTAGAACAGCGAGGGGGGAACAGCTGTGCTGCGCGATTTAGATTCGCTAGAAAGCAGGATTTCCTGTGAATATAAATCACGTGGCACAGCTGATCGTCGGAAATACCGGCTGTAGGTTGTTGTTTTTTTTACTACCGGTTCGCTTGAATCGGTAGCTTTTATCACTACCGGTACGCCCAAACCGGTGCGACCCGGTAGCATTTCACCACTGCTCTAGATCCACCACCAGGGCAGAGCAAGGAGTTTCTGTCCCATCTCCGGACACCTTCTCGGCAGGCTAAAAAGAAGGTTGGCCTCTGAAGGCATCAGCTGTCTTCTGGTGAACCAGACAGCATGGAAAGGATGTTTGAGGGGCATGTGGGGAGTCTAGAAAAAAGATGATGGACTTTTCCTCCGGGCCTATCAAACTCTGGAGAAGCAACCCCTGGAAACTCCCATTGCAACGATGCAGAGGAGACCTCCCTAAGACCAAAGGGGAAGGAGGATATTATCAGAGCAACCCCTCTGAAATCCCCCTGAAATCAAGTATGAGGAGTGGGCCCCTTTCTCTCTTTAAAGAAAGAAAAAAGCAGGAGGGGCAAGGAAGAGCAACCTGATCTAGATCCTACCCTAGATGGTCCAAGGATCTGGGAGGGTTCCAGGGGTGGGCTTCAGATCCTTTAGCAACGGGTTCGCTCCCCGTTGCTGGGTGGGCATGGCTATGGTGGGCGTGGCCTAGTCGGCCGCCTGCACCAAGGTGGGAGGGTGGGAGGCCTGTTTTTCGCCCTCCCCAGGCACCAGAGGCTTTCCTCGAGCCTCCGAGAGGATGAAAACAGCTTCCCCCGGGCTCCAGAGGCATTCCGGAGGCCGGAAACAGGCCCATTTCCCGACTTCCGGAACCTCCGGCAGGCCTGTTTTTTGCCCTCCCAGACCCTCTGCGCGGCCCCTGCACTTACCTGGAATGATGAACGGGCTGCGTGGAGACTCCTGGGAGGGACAGGATGGGGTGGGAGGGGAGGGGTGAAGTGGGCGTGGCCAGCCAGGGGTGCCATTTGAGAGTTCGCCGAACCCCGGCGATCCTTGGCTAGAGGATCGTCCGAACCCTACCGAACCCCCAGGAGCCCACCCCTGGAGGCTTCCTGCAGTTGCAGTGTTTGTATATCGTTTTGATTTTTTTGAGAATCTGTGCCGATGAAGACCCTCGAGAGCTCCGATGTTTTAACTGACATCGTTATGCGCTGTTTTTCTTTTGCAAAAACCAAACAAACCGAAACAGCCTTCACAGCAAAAATCCCCCGGGGGGGGGTGTTCCTCGACACGACACCCCCCGGGAGTCCCAGCAAGGAGACTTCACACTCAGCCTAACACTACCACCCCGGCAACCACCCAAGTTCTCCCTCACCCCGAAATGAAGCCCGCAGGGGAAAGACGCTCTGTTTGACACCCCGTTCCCTTGGGCCAAGCTTTGTTTGTTTGCTGGAGGAACCCAGAGGCAGCTTTCTGCAGGTCCCTCGTTGGGTGGGACAATGAACGTGGAGCCTTCTGAAGGTCTGCAGAGAGGTGGGGAGGGGGGCCTTGTGTTCTGCAGAACGTTGGGCGGTCCAGGAACCACCAAATACGAAGCCACCGGGAGGAAGCCCCCACCTCGGAAGCAGCCAAAGAGGTCAGAACTTTTTTCTCCACCATCCTGCCCCTGATGGAAACGGAGACCTTCCACCATTTCCAACTCCCCCCCCACCCCACCCCTTAAAAATAAGGACCACTTGAATTATATCTTTCTCGGTGGCCTCTTCTGCCTGGGATAATGAGTCATCTGCAGGAAATTGCTGGCATGTTTATCCATGAAATCTTCTGTTTGGACACGTGATGGATGGCTTTCCAGCCAAATCTTCCCCACCTGTTTCTCTGCACTCTCTTAAGGAGCAAATTGGCAGTTGGTTGGAACTACAACTGCGAGGATCGTAGTAAAATCCACGGCACGGGGGGGGGGGGGAAGACTGACTCACTCAATCATCTCCTTTCTGGGGTTTTTCCAGCGAGAGTTGGTTAAGCGGGAAGCTCAGCCACTCCAAACTTCCTCGCTCTTTTTTCATCTTTCAACTGCCCTCTCTAACTTTTCCCATCCCAAAACACCAAAAAAGGAGGGGAAAAAAAAATCCAGCTGACAACCGACGAGCAGAAGAAATTCAAGGGGATACCAGACCGAGAAAAAAAAAAATGTAGCGATATTCTACAGTTGGCCTCGTAAAGCTGCACGGTAGACCAAATCCTCGCCTATTAGGGGAAAAATGGGACATTTTCTGTCTCGTTTAACATGGTTGGTCACACAGCCAAATGTTTAGCCTGAATTTGGCCTTTTTAATTTAACTATTGAGTCAGGATTCAAGAGGCTCCCCTTGAAAAGTGTTCGGAGACTACAGTTGGTCCAGAACGCAGCCGCGCGAGCTATCGTGGGTGCACCTAGATACACCCACATTACACCAATTCTCCGTGAGCTGCACTGGCTCCCTATTGGTCTCCGGGCACAATTCAAGGTGTTGGTTATTACCTTTATTTATTTTATTTATTTTTGTATGCCGCCCTTCTCCGGAGACTCAGGGCGGCTTACAAGGCGTTAAGCAATAGCCTTCATACTTTTGTATATTTTTATACAAAGTCAGCTTATTGCCCCCACAAATCGGGTCCTCATTTTACCCACCTTAGAAAGGATGGAAGGCTGAGTCGACCTTGAGCCTGGTGAGAATTGAACTCGCAGTAATTGCAGGCAGCTGGATGTTAAATGCTGCCTTAGTAGGAGGCATTAGCCTCCTACGCCACTCAGGCTCCTTTAAACCCTACATGGCTCAGGGCCAGGTTATCTTCGAGACCGCCTTTTACCGCATAGCTCCCAGAGACCAGTAAGATCCCAGAGAGTTGGTCTCCTCCGGGTCCCGTCAGCTAAACAATGCCGGCTGGTGGGCCCGTGGAGGAGGGCCTTCTCTGTGGCTGCCCCAGCTCTCTGGAACCAGTTGCTTCCTGAGGTCCGGACCATCCCCACCCTATTGGCCTTCCGAAAAGCGGTGAAGACCTGGCTTTTCCGGCAGGCCTCAGGCCGTTGATCTCGCTCTTGCGATCTGGCGAGATCCGGCCATGGATGGTGTGCATGGTTTTTAATGTTTTAATTTTTAAATATTTTTATAATGGTTTTTTTTAAAAAAATGCATTGTAAGCCACCCTGAGTCTCCAGAGAAAGACGGCATATAAATTGAACTAATAATAAATTATTATTATTTGCGCGTGGCGATTTCTCCATTTTTAACTCTCCACCTTTGCAAGAGTGATAGTCAGAAGAGAAAGTAGGGACCAAGCGCTCAGAAGCACAGGACAAAGAGCCTCCAGGTTTCTTCCACCAGAGGGCAATCGCGTTCCACCAAGCTTTTCCGAACGAGGAATTTTTGAGATTCGGATACTCACTGTTCCGGGCTGGAGACAGATGTCCTTCGACCGTCCGCAGCTACGTTGCCTTTGGGTCTTCGCACCACTTGGGGTCTGGGCGGCCGAACCTATTGGACACCAAGTGGAGATGCACACAGTGATTCTGACACGCAGATGTTAACAGTAACAGAGCTGGAAGGGACCTGGGAGGTCATCTAGTCCAACCCCCTGCTCTCACGCGGGAGACCTATAGTAGGGATTCGAACCGCTGAACTGCCGACTTTTCTGATTGACAAGCTCAGCGTCTTAGGTACTTGAGCCACCTAGCTAGGCTAACCTTGGTAATACAGTGGTCTAAGGCACCCTGTTATTAAGCTGGTTATTAAGACCAGCTGCCTGCAATTACTGCAGGTTCGAATCTTGCCAAGGCTCAAGGTTGACTCAGCCTTCCATCCTTTCTAAGGTAGGTAAATTGAGGACCCAGTTGTGGGGCCAATAAGCTGGCTTTGTATAAATATACAAAGCTATGAAGGCTATTGCTTAACGCATTGTAAGCCGCCCTGAGTCTCCGGAGAAGGGTGGCGTATAAATCAAAAATAAAATAAAATAAAAAAAACCTCATTTTATTTTATTTTATTTAAAAAAAACATCAGTACTTAGTAAGGTTTATGGCAAAACTAACAAAACTAACACACAATGGGTTTGTTTAACCACAATGCACCCTTCCCCAATCAAAGATCTCACCACAACATTTCTGGAAATGGTACCATCTTTTGCTATACCTACCGAGCAATCTTTCTGGACCACAAAGCCATGGAACTGATCTGCAATGCAAGCCTGCCACTATGTAAAAAAATTTAGAGGGCAAAAGGAAGACACTTGCTGGCCAGGAGGCTAAGATAGAAGCAGCACCGGCAACAGGACAACTGAAGTAGGACTTCTCATAGGGACTAGGGTATGGACCAAACAATAAAGATGGAAGCCACAAAACTCCTATCTCTACTTTACCTTCCTTGCAGGTAAAGGTAAAGGTTCCCCTCGCACATCTGTGCTAGTCGTTCCCGACTTTAGGGGGCGGTGCTCATCTCCATTTCAAAGCCGAAGAGCCAGCGCTGTCCGAAGACGTCTCCATGGTCATGTGGCCGGCATGACTCAATGCCAAAGGTGCACGGAACGCTGTTCCCTTCCCACCAAAGGTGGTCCCTATTTTTCTACTTGCCTTTTTTTTTTAAGTGCTTCTGAACTGCTAGGTTGGCAGAAGCTAGGACAAGTCACGGGAGCTCACCCTGTTTACATGGCACTAGGGATTCGAACCGCTGAACTGCCGACCTTTCGATTGACAAGCTCAGTGTCTTCACCACCGAGCCACCACGTCCCTTTTCCATGCAGACACCCCCCATAATTGAAATATTGGCTTGGAGCTGTGAGAAGTCCTTCAAACTCCTAAAGCCTTGATAGTAAAGTGGTCTAAGCACCCTGTTATTAAGACCAGCTGCCTGCAATTACTGCAGGTTCGAATCTCGCCAAGGCTCAAGGTTGACTCAGCCTTCCATCCTTTCTAAGGTAGGTGAAATGAGGACCCAGTTTGTGGGGGCAATAAGCTGACTTTGTATAAATATATACAGAAGGATGAAGGCTATTGCTGAGCACATTGTAAGCCGCCCTGAGTCTCCAGAGAAGGGCGGCATATAAATCAAATTAAAAAAAAAAAAGCTACCGTTGGTCCATCAAAACCAGCCTGAGATGCCTTCAAATGACAGCCTCATGAGTGAATTAGGGGAAAGGCCAACGTTCCTCCTTCCCCCAGTGTTCCAGAGACTCCTTCTCCATTTCTGGAAGATGTCATGTTAAAAGAGAGCCCACCAGGCCAGATCTTCACATCCATTTGAAAGGAATCCATCTCATTTGATCAACTTTGGGTTTCGCCGACCAGGTGGGTGGGCATGCAAATCGGTTCAGATGAGGCAAGATCCCTTGCAGCTAACGGAGACATCTTTGACCTCTCCAAATCCAGATGTGGGAGAGATGCCACATCTGCGTGTACCATCCATCACACTTTAGGCAGGACACCACAAATAGAGGAAAAATCAAGAGCAGGCTTCCGATCACAGCATGAATCAGAGGGCGGGTGAAACAAAGCAACTGCACCGAGCTAAGCAAGGAGAAACCAGAAGTGAGTTTGTGTCCGAAGACAAGAGTGACATGGTAGATTCCAAGATTTGAGGGGCTGCCACGAAGAAGAAGGGGGTCAACTTATTCTCCAAAGCACCAGAAGGCAAGACAAGAAACAACGGATGGAAACTCATCAAGGAGAGAAGCAACCTGGAATTAAGGAGAAACTTCCTGACAGTGAGAAGAATTAACCAGTGGAACGCCTTGCCACCAGAAATTGTGGATGCTTCATCACTGGAGGTTTTTAAGAAGAGACAGTCACCTGTCTGCAATGGTATAGGGCAGGGGTGAAATCCAGCAGGTTCGGACAGGTTCTGGAGAACTGGTAGCGGAAATTTTGAGGAGTTCGGAGAACCGGTAGCGGAAATTATGAGGAGTTCGGAGAACTGGTAGCGGAAATTTTGAGCAGTTCGGAGAACCGGTAGCGGAAATTATGAGTAGTTCGGAGAACTGGCAAATACCACCTCTGGCTGGCCCCAGAGTGGGGTGGGAATGGAGATTTTGCAATATCCTTCCCCTGGAGTGGGGAGAGAATGGGGATTTTGCAGTATCCTTCCCCAGGAGTGGGGAGGGAATGGGGATTTTGCAGTATCCTTCCCGACACACCCACTAAGCCACACCATGTCCACCAAGCCATGCCCACAGAACCGGTAGTAAAAAAAAAATTGGATTTCACCACTGGTAGAGGGTCTCCTGCTTGAGTAGGGGGTTGGACTAGAAGACCTCGAAAGGTCCCTTCCAGCTCTATTCTGATTGATTGATTGAATCTTCTTCTTAATGGCTAGAAGAAGCTCCTAGTTTGGTTTGAGCAGCTTCTCTGAACCGTCCAGTGACACGAAGCAGGGAGGTGTACCTTACTTACTACTTGACTCCAAAATGGGTTAGACTTGGGCATGCCAATGTTCTCCAACAATGTTGAGAGTACCAGAAATTATTTCCGGTGATGTCAGCACCTCAGCGCTGACATAGGAAGGGAGATAAGCCCTGAACTTTTGTCTGCTAAATCCCTTTGAAGCTGGGTCGTCGTGGAAATGAAGAGGGGGGGGAACATTCCTGTGAAATGATGGGACAAGAAGTCAGTGGAGCGACTTGGAAGATAGCCAATGAGAAGCAGATAATTGGGGATCGGAAAGGGAGGGATTGGGGGGTCAAAAGGTCAGTCTTGTCCGCATCGAGTCATGATCCGGTTGCTGTGCTTGAATAAAGAGAAGATTTCCTTAAAGATTGGCAGTTTGGAAATTCATTTATTTTGAGATAGCATCGAAGTCTGACAGGTACTTCATGGAAATAAGAGCCATCTTATGGGCTATCACAACGCCGGTGTCTTCACATGGGGGCTCCACGAAGTAGGCCTAAGCAGACAGATCATGGGCTGGAGACCAGTGGTGGGCTGCTCCCGGTTCGATCCGGTTCTTGCAAACCGGAAGTAAAACCAGGGAGGAAGCTCCGCCCACCCACCCAGATATCGTCATAGACGATCTGCACATGTGCAATCCCGGTAGTAAAGGTAAGTAGAACCCATCCCTGCCGGAGACCCAAATCCTGACATGACCCCGATTTGCCTTCTCAAGAGATGAGAACTCTTAGCGGGGCGACCCTGATGGCAACGCGCGCTTCCCAACGGTTGGAAAACGAGAGGGGACGCTCAGCTCTTTCGTAAAACGAGAAAAAAAAAATTGCCGACTGAGGAATCGCTCAGCTCTTTCGTAAAACGAGAAAAATACACCTGCGTTTTTTTATCCTCAGTAAGCCACTGGGGGTGGAGGTGTCCCTTCTTCAGCTCCTCTAATGTAGGACCTGCTGATCTGAAAGAGCCAAACCATGGGACCCTTTCCCCTTAATCCTGCCCCTCCCCTGGGATGGGGTGAGGAATTCTTGGGAGACTGTTGAGTCCTCGACCAAAGGAAAGGGACCTCCTCTGGTCTGAGCTGCAAGAAACCCACGGCTCTGTCTAGGCAGGCCTGGAAGAAATGGGTCTGAAATGTTCTATCCAGGAGCCCCACACGGACCACATCCAGGCCCAGCCCCACAGATGAGGACTGTAGGAAGAGGGGGAGGAGAGCGTCCAGTGGGTTCTCTGGAGAGAGACTGAATGTCATCAACCCCCCATGGAGGAGTGGGCTTCAAAAATGTTACCAAGGGGTTCCCTGCCCGGTTGCTGGGTGGTATGGCCATGGTGGGCGTGGACTAGTTGGTCTCCTGCACCATGATGGGGGGAGAGGGGCGTTTTTGCCCTCCCCGGGCTCCAGAGGCTTTTCTTGAGCCTCCAGGAGGGCGAAAACGGCAGGCTCTGGAGGCCTTCTTCCCGAACTTCCGGTAGGCCCGTTTTTCACCCTCCTCGAGCCTCCACGTGCTCCCTGCACTTACCTGCATCCAAAACGGTGGGCCGCGTGGGGACTCCTGGAAGGGGAGGGGCAATGTAGGAGGGGCCAGCCAGGAATGGGATTTGGGGGTTCTCCGAACAGCACAGAATCTTAGCTAGAGGTTCTCCCAAACCCCTGTGAACCTCCAGCATCCCACCCCTGCCCCCCCTGGGATGGACGGAGTCTGGTGCCAGAAGCCTCCCTGCCGGGGGTGGGGGGCGGCGGTGTAACCCACGAGGCTGATTTCCCTCCCTCCCTCCCGTCTGTCTGTCTGTCCCTCCCTCCCTCCCTCCAGAAGAGGCTTAAGAGTGGCGAATTTATGGCAGGCAAGGAAGGATTAAGTTTGAAGGGGGTGGGGGGAACTTCGCGTGAACTTGCAAGGCGGAGGAACATCGGAGGAAAAGAACAACAGAGCTAATTAGGGGAGCTGGGCTGTCAGAGCAGAGCTGCATGGCTCAGTGCCAGCAAACAAAGGAGAAGGCTTGGCAATCAGCAGGATGGATGGAAGAGACTGCTTCATTAGGGATGAGAAAACACGGGGAGGGAGGGGGAGAGAGAGCAAGCAAGCTGGGGAGGGAGGGAGGGAGGGACGGGGAAGTGCAGGGGGGGGAAGGGAGAGACTGTTTAATTAAGCCTAAAGCTGGTTTGTCACTTGCTCCAAACCCTTTCACCTTTCAGCTGGCCTTCTCGGAGAGGGGACGTTTCTGCCAGAGATGGCAATTCCACCGCTGGGGCGAAGTCTCTCTCTCTCTCTCTCTCTCTCTCTCTGTGTTTCTCTCTCTCTCTCTCACTGTTTCTTTCTCTCTCTTTCTCTCTCTCTCTTTCTCTCTCACTTTGTTTCTCTCTATCTCTCTCTTTCTCTCTCACTGTTTCTTTCTCTCTTTTTCTCTCTCTCTCTTTCTCTCTCACTTTGTTTCCCTCTATCTCTCTTTCTCTCTCACTGTTTCTTTCTCTGTTTCTCTCTCTCTCTCTCACTGTTTCTTTCTCTCTTTTTCTCTCTTTCTCTCTTTCTCTCTCTCTTTCTCTCTTTGTGTGTTTCTCTCATTTTCTCTGTTTCTGTTTCTCTCTCACTTTCTTTCTGTTTCTTTCTCACTCTGTTTCTCTCTCTGTGTTTCTCTCTATGTGTGTTTCTCTCTTTCTCTCACTTTTTCTCTGTTTCTCACTCTCTCTGTGTGTTTCTCTGTGTTTCTCTCTCACTCTCTGTTTCTCTTTCACTTTCTGTGTTTCTCTCTGTGTGTGTTTCTCTCTCTCTGTTTCTCTCTCTTTCTCTCTCACTGTTTCTCTCTCTCTCTTTCTCTCTCAGTTTCTCTCTCTCTCTTTCTTTCTATCTCTCTTTCTCTCTCTTTCTCTCTCTCTTTCTCTCTCACTGTTTCTTTCTGTTTCTCTCTCACTTTGTTTCTCTCTCTATTTCTCTCTCTCTCTCTCTCTCTATTTCTCTCTTTGTGTGTTTCTCTCATTTTCTCTGTTTCTGTTTCTGTTTCTCTCTCACTTTCTCTCTGTTCTCTCTCACTTTCTCTCTGTTTCTCTCTCACTTTCTCTCTGTTTCTTTCTCACTCTGTTTCTCTCTCTGTTTCTCCCTATGTATGTTTCTCTCTCTCTTTCTCTCACTTTTTCTCTCTGTTTCTCTCTCTCTGTGTTTCTCTCACTCTGTGTTTCTCTTTCACTTTCTGTGTTTCTCTCTGTGTGTTTCTGTATCTCTGTTTTTCTCTGTGTTTCTCTCTCTCTCTCTTTCTCTCTGTGTTTCTATCTCACTTTCTCTGTTTCTTTCTCACTCTGTTTCTCTGTGTTTCTCTCTATGTGTGTTTCTCTCTTTCTCTCTCTGTTTCTCTCTGTTTCTCACTCTCTCTGTGTTTCTCTTTCCGTGTTTCTCTCTCACTCTATTTCTCTTTCACTTTCTGTGTTTCTCTCTCTGTGTTTCTGTATCTCTGTTTTTCTGTGTTTCTCTCTCTCTGTTTCTCTCTGTGTTTCTATCTCACTTTCTCTGTTTCTTTCTCACTCTGTTTCTCTGTTTCTCTCTATGTGTGTTTCTCTCTTTCTCTCTCTTTTCTCTGTTTCTCTCTCCGTGTTTCTCTCTCACTCTCTGTTTCTCTTTCACTTTCTGTGTTTCTCTCTGTGTGTTTCTCTCTCTGTGTTTCTCTCTCTCCGTGTTTCTGTATCTCTGTTTTTCTCTCTGTGTGTGTTTCTCTCTGTTTCTGTGTTTCTCTCTCACTTTCTCTGTTTCTTTCTCACTCTGTTTTTCTGTGTCTCTCTCTCTGTGTGTTTCTCTCTTTCTCTGTTTTCTGTGTTTCTCTCTGTGTGTGTTTCTCGCTCTCTGTGTGTTTCTCTGTTTCTGTTTTTCTCTCTCTCTGTTTCTCTCTCTCTGTGTGTTTCTCTCTCTCTCTGTTTCTCTCCCTCTCTCTGTTTCCAAGGGTTCTTGGAACAGAATACCCTCTCCACTCCAGGGGAAGGATACTGTAAAATCTCCATTCCCTCCCCACTCCAGGGGAAGGATACTGTAAAATCTCCATTCCCTCCCCACTCCAGGGGAAGGATACTGCAAAATCCCCATTCCCTCCCCACTCCAGGGGAAGGATACTGCAAAATCCCCATTCCCTCCCCACTCCGGGGAAGGATACTGTAAAATCTCCATTCCCTCCCCACTTCGGGGGAAGGTTATTGCAAAATCCCCATTTCCCCCCCCACACTCCTGGGGGAAGGATAATGCAAAGTCCCCATTCCCTTCCCACTCCTGGGGGAAGGTTACTACAAAATCCCCATTCCCTCCCCAATCCGGGGGAAGGTTACTGCAAAATACCCATTTCCTCCCGATCAGCTAGGACTTGGGAGGCAGAGAATAGATGGGGCGGGGCCAGTCAGAATTTTTACTACCGGTTCCCCGAACTACTCAAAATTTCCGCTACCGGTTCTCCAGAATTTGTCAGAACCTGCTGAAACCCATCTCTGGCCCAACTGAGACAGATGTAGGAAGGAAGATTTTCAACGCATCAATCCATCGCAATGAAACCCCCCCCTGTTAAATCGGCATGCCCCCCCTTCCTTCAGACTTGGCGAACCCACACACCGGATGCTAAGAGCAAGGGCACAAGGCTAAGCAGCGTGCAAAAGGGAGCGGATAGCCACAAAATTCCCCACGCTTGAAACACAGTCAGACCAATCAGATTTTTTTCGATCTTGCTTTGAAAGGAAGGATTCCGATTGCGGAAAGGAAAGGAAGAAACTGGGTTCAGTTCCTTCGCTGGTCAAAGAGTAGAGCGGGGGAAAAAAGGAAAGTTGGGGAGGAGGGGAAGTTTTTGTCCAGTGAAGATCCTGGACAAATTAAGATACGGGGTGTATTTTTTTTAAAAAAAGAGAGAGTCCGATGAAGATGATGGGCAAGAATAATGAACTCACATCTTCTTTCAGCCACTTCAGCGACTCGTCTGTTCCGATTCTTACCACCTTGGGATCTTTGCAAAGATCTCTTCTGGCTTGTTGCCTTCTCCAGATGTTGGAACGGTAACACTTAGGCGGTAATTTGGGGGGGGGGTCTGTTCTTACACAGCTGGGGGGCGCCAGGTTGGGGATGGCTGTCCGGGGGGGGGGGAACCTGTCTCCCTGTCTGTCTATGGTTTCTTCCCCAAATCCCCAAAACTTTAACCTTAGACTGTCTACTGTAGACCTCACCCCATTCCTAAGAGGTCTGTAAAAGGTGTGCATAAGCGTACCAGTGTGCCTACCGTCCCTGTCCTAATTTTTTCTTTTATTCGTATCCTTTGCATGTATTTATAATTATTTTTACACTTGTATCTGTCATAAAATACATGCTTGACAAAATAAATAAAATCTCTCTCTCTCTCTCTCTCATCTCTATCTATCTATCTATCTATCTATCTCTCTCTCTCATCTATATATCTCTCTATCTCTCTATCCATCCATACCTCTCTCTCATCTCTCTCTCTCCTATCTATCTATCTCTCATCTATCCATCTCTCTCTCATCTCTCTCTCTCATCAATCTAGCTATCCATCCATCTCTCTCTCATTTCTCTCTCATTTCTCTCTCATCTCTCTCTCATCTATCTATCTATCTATCTATCTATCTATCTATCTATCTAATCATCTCTCTCTCTCATCTCTCTCTCTCTCATCTATCTCTCTATCTCTCTCTATCCATCCATCTCTCTCATCTCTCTCTCTCCTATCTATCCATCTCTCTCTCATCTCTCTCTCTCATCTCTCTCATCAATCTAGCTATCCATCCATCTCTCTCATTTCTCTCTCTCATCTCTCATCCATCTATCTATCTATCTATCTATCTATCTATCTATCTATCTATCTATCTATCTATCTATCTTATCATCTCTCTCTCATCTCTCTCTCTCTCATCTATCTATCTATCTATCTATCTCTATCCATCCATCTCTCTCTCTCTCATCTCTCTTTCTCATCAATCTAGCTATCCATCCATCTCTCTCTCTCATTTCTCTCTCATCTCTCTCTCTCATCTATCTATCTATCTATCTCTATCTCTCTCTCTCTCTCTATCCATCCATCTCTCTCTCTCATCTCTCTCTCTATCTCTCATCTATCCATCTCTCTCTCTCTCTCTCATCTCTCTCTCTCATCAATCTATCCATCCATCCATCTCTCTCTCTCTCTCTCTCATCTATCTTTCTATCTCTCCCTCATCTCTCTCTCTCTCTATCTGCCGGGGTGGCACAGTGGTTAGAACGGAGTATTGCAGGCTAACTCTGCCGACTGCCAACAGTTCGATTCTCACTGGCTCAGCCTTCACTGTAAAGCGTTCTATAAATCTAAGACGCTAACACTAATGCTATTATCCCAATTTAGAGATGTTGGGGAGTAAAACCAGGCCTTGGCGCCTGGCTAAACTTTCCATCGAAACCAAGACAAAGCAAGCGTGGCCCACCAAAGACCTCTTCTTCTACCAAGAGGGTCTTCTCCTCCTTGCATCCACTGCTACGTTTTAAAGCTTGAGTGGAACGTCTGAGCCTGGAGGAGCCTTTGCAGAAAAGAATCATCCAGAGTCAAGAAAAGGTGTCAAAAGACCCACAGGAGTTAAGAGCGGCTCCAAAGAAGAAGAAGAAGACAAGCAGAACCTAGAACTTATGCAACTCGACCAAGGCCACCATCCCTGACTGGCTTCTCGTTGAGTTTGCCAAAGGCCATCCAGCAGAATGTGGTTGTTTTTTTTTAGTAAGATGAAGGAGCAACGCAGGGTTAGAGGCAGGCAAACGGCCAATTTACTCACGGGCCTGGCAGAGCGATGGATCTTGGGAAGTGGCGGTCTCACCGGTCGTGCCCTTGGCTGCAGCAAAGTGGAAACTTCAGTCATTTTGCCCTAGGGCAGGGGTCTGCAACCTTAAATACTCAAAAGAGTCATTTGGACCCATTTCCCACAGAAAAGAAAACACTGGGAGCCACAAAAACCCTTCCCGTGCCTGACGATTTCTTGAGCGGCCACAAAACTAGCATATGTAGTCGAATTAAACATTTTGTTTTCTTCTGAAACTTTTCTTTTCTTGGATTTATCCGTGGGTGGCCTACCGGGGGTTGAAAAGCTCAATAAATCGCGTGCCGGCGGGTGTCACACATTGGCGGTTGTGATGCATATTTTGAGTGACAGGGAGCCGCAGCAGAGGGGTGAAAGAGCCACATGCGGCTCCAGAGCCGCAGGTTGCTGACCTGTTGTTGTGACTTTGTGTGTGCTGTATTCTTTGGGGTCCGTAGCTGGGGAACCCTGCCCTAGGGAGCGTCCGTCACCCCCAAAGTATTACATAGCCAAGACCTTCAGAAGGACCTCAACAAACTCCTGGCAGTTGGTAGGGAATATCAGATCTTTTGAACTCGTTGGGCTTAAGAAATGTAGAGGAGAGCAGGAAGCCAAGTTTTTCTGACCTAAGCTTCCTTAGAAAGTATACAGCACAAACTTAGTCCCGGCAAACCTCTTTTTTAATTCATACGGCTGTAAATTACTTTCATTTACAGTCTGCAAGGGTTGATAAACAGTCTTTCAGAGGAATGTTTACAAACACCCACCTTATCTCCCTTGGAACGATGCCAGAGAACTAATTGCCAAACACAGGGCAAGGCCAAACTTAGCACAGAGTCAAACAGAGCTTTTCCAGAGCTTTTACCGACCAGATGAACTCATTGCTTCCTGCAGAAGCTCACCTCCCGTTCGCTTCTCTTTTATGTCTTATGGGAGGGGCCAATCATCTCCAAGCCTTACTCCCAAGTCGACCCTGTTTCCTTAATTGTTCCTGTCTCCTGGCAGCTCTGCGCATGTGTAGACTGGGAACAGGCTGACACTGTTCTTCTGCCTCACTGATGTCAGATTCTGGAGGCAAGACCAGATGGCCCCCTCTCTGACTCAGAGCCCTCATCTGAGCCTTCTCCAGAATCCAGAACTGACCCATGTTCCTCCCCAACCTCCTCACTGTCTGAATCTACTGCCAGGTGTACAGCCAGAATTAAAACACATGCAGTACAAATATTAAAAAACAATTAAAAGATATATAAATTTGGCCCAATTAAAACTCACTACCAATTAAAACATTTAAAACATTTAAAAACATTTAAAAATTTCTTCTTAAGCCAGCCCGGCTTGCTTGAAAAAATGGGTTTTAAGGGCACGACGGAAGGCACTGAGGTCTTGGGTTTATGACAGTCGCAGTATCCCGGGGGTGACGTGATTCCTCTTTTGCAACCTTAATTTAATTAATTTAATTAATTTAATTTATATGCCGCCCCTCTCCAAAGAAAGAAAAGCTGACTTTGTATAAAATATACAAAAAGTATGAAGGCTATTGCTTAACGCATTGTAAGCCGCCCTGAGTCTCCGGAGAAAGGTGGCATATAAATCAAATTAAAAAAAAAAAAAAGTTGTGCATCTGGCGGAAATGGCAAAAATTTCATCATACCTTAAAGACCATTCAAATGAGAGATATATATCGGAATGGAGAAAATGGATTGATTACATACAGAAGAAGTATCCGAATAAGAAGATTCATATAGCTTATGAATGAAATAATATTAAGTAGTTTATGTTTGTTTTTTCTGAGTTATAAGGAGTTAAGGACCTAGGGAGAATATGAAATGTAATAATTTGTTAGCGCATTTTAGTTCTTGGTTTGTGAATGCTATACCCTGTGCTCGTTCTGGGAAGTCTAGGGAGGGGGGTGGGGGGAGGGAGGGGAAGGGAGGGGGGGAAGGGGAGCGGGGGTTGAGGGGGGAAGGGTGGGGGGGTGAAAATGTTTGTATTTTTCATAAAACTTTTCAATAAAAAAAAAAAATGGCATCCTCAGGTAAATATCAGTCCTGAAACTGGATGCTTGTAAATTCTCCCTGCATCGTTTTTTTTCTGTTCGCATTGCTGGAATTTGGTGCTCCCTGTGGGTTTCAATACAGGCACTCCGCGACGTACGACCACAACGGAGCTCAACATTAACAGCAGTGGCCAAAATTGTGGAAAATACACTTTTTGGGAAAAGTGTATTTTCTAAAACTAGCTAATAATAACACCACTTTTTTTTTTGGAGCACTACCATAAAATTGTATATCAACGGAAAGATAATTTAATCAAGAATGTCATGCAATCACTTTTAGGAAGGATTTGCTGTTAGAATAGCAGTTACAGGATACAGAAGAAAAGTGAAACAGGTAGAATAAAACGAGATAGACAAAAATGATCCCCATAGAAAAAACAAGATATACAAAAATGATCACCATGTCAGTGAATACTTCGTTGGGTAACCTTTAGCATGAATGATGGCCTTACAACGTCTTCCCATGGAGTGAACCAAGTCTTTGAGTTCTGCAGCTGTTCTAATGTGAAACCAAGACTGAAGGATGGCTTCTGTTAACTGGGTTTTATTGCTGGGTTGCTTCTGACTAACCAGTTTCTTTAGTCAGCTGCATAGATTTTCAACTGGCCCTCCCAGCAGTGGAATAGGATTATCTTGAAACTCACACACACACACAAAAAAGTGGTGTTATGAGCCATCAAACCTCAAAAATACACTTTTCCTAAAAGGTTTCCACAATTTTGGCCGCTACTGTACCTTTCTCTCTCCTTCCTTCCTTCCTTCCTTCCTTCCTCCCTCCCTCCTTTCTGACTAACAAGTTTCTTTATTTGGAAAATCTATAGATTTTCACTTGGGTGAAGGTCTGGGCTATTCCCAGGCTATTCCAGCAGTGGAATAGGATTATCTTGAAACTCATTAAAAAAAAAAAAGTGGTGTTATGAGCCATCAAACCTCAAATATACACTTTTCCCAAAAGGTTTCCACAATTTTTACCACTACCCTTCCTTTCCTTCCTTCCTTCCTTCCTTCCTTCCTTCCTTCCTTCCTTCCTTCCTTCCTTCCTTCCTCCCTCTTTTCCCAAAAGGTTTCCACAATTTTTACCACTACCCTTCCTTCCTTCCTTCCTTCCTTCCTTCCTTCCTTCCTTCCTTCCTCCCTCTTTTCCCAAAAGGTTTCCACAATTTTTACCACTACCCTTCCTTCCTTCCTTCCTTCCTTCCTTCCTTCCTTCCTTCCTTCCTTCCTTCCTTCCTTCCTTCCCTCCTTCCTTCCTTCCTTCTTTCCTTCCTTCCTTCCTCCCTCCCTCCTTCCCTCTTTTCCCAAAAGATTTCCACAATTTTGACCACTACTCTAGGTTGCTAAGTGAGACACTTCTGAAGTGAGTTTGGCCCCATTTTGATTAGGATTTTTCTCGCCATCATCCTTAAGGGAATCTGTGCAGTTCTTAAATTAGTAACCCGGTGGCTAAGCGAATCCGCCTTCCCCGTGGACATTTGCTTGCCACCGTCGTTAAACGAATCACTTCAGGTGGTTAAGTTTAGTCACCCGGTTGTTAAGCGAATCCGGCTTCCCTCATTGACCTTGCTCGTCGGAAGTGTAAATCACCTGACCCGCGGGGACACTGTGCGACCGTCGTAAGTAGAAATCGGTTGTATTCTGATCACGTGACACCTCCCCCCCGGGGATACTGCCAACGGTCATAAGTGCGAAAGTGCGATCCTAAGTCCCCTTTTGTCGACGCCGTCGTGACTTTGAACGGTCACTAAACGAACGGTCGTAAGTCGAGGACTAGCTGTATTGATCTGCCAAAATAGGTCACGAAATTGAGAGGGGGGAAAAGGGACGATGGGTGAGATCTGGGGGGGGGGCGTGGGGCGGGTGTCTCCTCTGAATTCTGGACCCCTCCCCTCTGCTCAAAAACCAGAGACACGGATCGTTATGCGGAAAACAGCCTCTGATTTGCAGTTCATTTGTTGAGGCAGCAAAACGCATTATTTGCAGAAAGGTCAAAAACGGGGGAAACTCTGGTAGGAAAAAAAAATCGCTTAATTACTTGCGCCGCGTCGAGAAAACGCCATGAATGCCCAATTTGGAGCCGGCGGAGATGGCTTAAAATGACTGCAGCTGGTTTGTGGTTAAAACGACCAGACGCACAACGGGAGAGGGGGGGGAAGAGATAATTCAACAACTGTTTTAACTGGCTCTTAAAATGGACTACGGCAGGGGTATCAAATTTAAGGCCCCGGGGGCAGGATCTGTCCACGCGGTGCTTAGATCTGGCCCGTGGGGTTGGTCTGGAAATAGCAAAATGGCTTGTGGTGCCACTGCTAGTGAAAATGGGGTATGGGGGGTGCGGTGCGCCCTATTTTTAGCCTGGAAAGCCTCCAGACTCCCCATGCCCCATTTTGGCTGGCAGAGGGCTGCAGGAGGCATCCGTCTCGTCCCCCCTTCCCCCAGCTGGCCCTTGAAGAAATTCAGTTTGACACACCTGGGTTACAGGTAGTGGTACCTCCTCCGTATTGCTAATGGACGGCAACTGCTCCCGGTCCTCAGATGGAACCCCCTGGCCAACTTATTGCTTATCTCAGTCTATCTCAGTCTTATCTCAGTCTATCGCTGGTCCATTGACCCAGCTGAGATGGCTCTATCAGGCTCCGAGCCCCGAGGGTCTATGACAATTCGCTGCAGCCAACTCACCACAGCCAACTCACCATGGTCAACTTGCCATGGTCAACTCATCACAGTCAACTCACCACGGCCAACTCACCACAGCCAACTCACCACAGCCAACTTGTCATGGTCAACTCACCATGGTCAACTCACCACAGCCAACTCACCATGGTCAACTCACCACAGCCAACTTGCCATGGTCAACTTGCCATGGTCAACTCACCATGGTCAACTCACCACAGCCAACTCACCATGGTCAACTTACCACAGCCAACTCACCACGGCCAACTCATGATGGTCAACTCACCACAGCCAACTTGCCATGGTCAAT